TAGATAGATAGATAGATAGATACTTTATTTATCCCCTAGGTGAAATTTGTCATCCGCCGGGTGGTTGGTATTGTCCAAGATGGCCCCCATCTTACATTGCATGCATCTCAACAGTCCGGAGTGAGTCAAGACTCCTGCCAAGCACATACACAGCTTTTTTGACCATTTTGTCCAGTCTCCTTGTGTTCATGCCTGAGATATTGCTGCCCCAGCAGACTGCATATACAGAATAAAAAAGAACACTGGCCACTACTGGCTGATAAAACATGTGCAGCATTTCAGTGCAGATGTCAACGACCCTAGCCTCCTAAGGAAAAAGAGGTGTGACCTTCGATTGGTGGAAAAAATATGAAGTGTTAAAAGTGGTTGAAAAGCGAAGTTAGACTTACTGCTTCTGGAAAGGTAAGCTACTTGGCTACAAACCTACTTGGCTAACAAATTTTACTCTGCAGTAGCTATACTCTACTGCAAAGTAAAATTTGTTAGCCAAGTAGGTTTGGATGTATAGCTACTGCAGAGTAAAATTTGTAGGTTTGTTGGTTTTTTTTTTACCTTGCTAGCTAATTTTAGTTTACAATTGCCTGTACACTAATTGTTTGTGTTGCCTCAGCTTGGTTTGCTGTGTAACAATAGCAGAGAAATTTGTTGATAGCTCGGTTGCTCGTAGGTAACTCAGTAACTTCAGCTAATACAACCCACAAGGCTAACGTTTATTACTGCTTGGACAGTCGTCAGTTGTGGCAGATTTCTACTTGGTTTGCTGTGTAACAATAGTGGAGAAGCTTGTTGTTAGCTCTGAAGCTAATATGTGCTGTAGTTATATGTGCTTAATTACTGTAGAAAACAAACTCAGTAATGCTAACTAACTTTACAGCCAAGTGAATGACAGAGAAATGAAGCATTAGATTATAATGTTCATCTGTTCTTTCGTAACTTAGTTATGAGAGAGACTACTCCATATCAACACCGTCCACAATCGATGGAAAGCGACCCTCGCCCCCACCATTTTTGTTGAGCATTTCCAGGAGTTCATCTGTAAGGTAACGATAGCAGGATAGTTAGTTTCGCATAGGTGGTCGCTTTATAGATATCAAAATATTCAGATAAATGCTTTCTTTTTGCCAGGGATGATGCTAATCTAGGTGGTGTACAGCGACTGGAGGAAGAAAGCCCTCCTGAGGAAACGATTCTTCATTAATTGGAAATGAGGTTTGTGCCCAGTTATTCTGGCTATCGGGTGAATTGGCAAGCTAACTCACCCGTATCCAACCATCCAGATCTGCATTCAAAACATGGTTATAAGGGGCATCACAATCACTTAGCTTATTCATTGGTGTCTCACACTCATAACTGTCTTGGCTACCAAAGGAGTGAAAGATGCCCTCAAGGCACCCATCATTCTAGCTCAGGTGATTCTGAGTGAATTGCTCACTCCAATAGAGCTTACAGTTCATGCCATCTTTCATCAGGCTATCAAAACTAATAAATTTCACATCTACAACTATGAACTCATTTATTATGTTGATGAACAATTGCAGCTCAACATGAGTGTGAATATTTATTGAAATTATATTTATTTAATAACATTCAAAGTGTCACTATCCACAATTTTAGTTTGCCATGACTAACTAGACCTTTAATAATATTATATTTAAAATATTCCTAAGTGTGTTTTTTTTTATGAAGCTCTCTCCTCCAAATCTATAGCCGCTTTATTCTGATTGTGAGTTTCATTGATGTCATGAGTGGTACATTGTGACCACTACCTTCAAGTGTTCATAACATGTGATCTCCGTAGTATGTCTGACACATGTGGAGGAGTTCAACAGCCTCCATAATGCAACGTAAGTTACTGTTTTTTTTTTAAATAGATTAGTTACAAACAAAGGCTTGCATAACTAAATGTTTATATGACTAAGTACTCTCCTCACTTCATTCTGTAGCATTGACTGGCAAGATGAGATCTGGTTCCTGAGGAAGAAAATATGCCACTGTTGTCATCTGAGGAAGATGTGACACGAGAAGTTAACAGTGACCCCGCGGCCCAGCAAAATATATATATGCTGTTATTACATTGTGAGTGGTAAAAAATGTTTTGTATTGGACTAAAATAAAGCATTCTAATAACCTCAACCTTGCTGTTGTTTTGTATTGGACTAAAATAAAGCATTATAATAACGTCAACCTTGCTGTTTCTGTATCACAAAACAAACCAAGCTGAGAATGGGGTGAATGTAAAAAAAAAAAAAAAAAAAAAAAAAAGTATATATATATATATATATATATATATTCAATACATGTTAAAATATTACAATATACACAATTGAAAAATTAAAAATAAATACAACAGTGTAAATGCAGGTGTAAAGTGTTAGTTAGGCCTAAACCCTACTTGGGCAAAAGACTACATATTGGCCATGAGGATCTGCAAAACACTCCCCAATCTTCAGGACAAAGTAACTGGGGATCACAATCCTGCTGCAACCCCCTTCTTGAAGAATGTACACATCTATGTAAGGCAGCATGGATATGCACCAGGGCGGCTGCATCTCTGCATCTATTGGCATCTCCAAGCACTTCTGACAAACACACCAATGTGGCTGTCCAGGGAAAGGATGGTCTGGACCTGAGGCCTGCCTAGTGTTGTGACACGTGTAAAGAAGATCAAGCTAGGGTCCCTGTTGAGGCAGAACAGGATTGTTTCCAACAGCTCCTTTCAACTAAGTGCTTTCTGAAAGGACTGTTATGAAATATTAATACATAGTCATATAAAGCTTTGCTGTGGTCAAATTACATTACATGATGACTGTGTTTCGACCAAAAAGTACCTGGAATTTTAAGTTCTTTTTTAGTACTTTTCTTCAGGAACTAAAAGGTTCCTGTGGTCCATTACTGTCTGCGTTTCCACCACGGACTAAAGTCCCAGTAAGATTATACAAAATTATTACTTGACATTACATTATTCACAGCACTTTGAGGACAAAATGTGATCGAAAATACGGAACAAATTGCGTTCCGTATATATTCAATAGCCTACAGGACGCAGCATTTTATTATTTTCAAACACGTGACGATCCTGTATTATATGTGACAGGTGGCAACCCTAGCCACTCCGGTTGTTGTGGTCCTTTATTTTTTTGTTCAGCAATGCACCCACACCCCCCAAAGTTCCTGAACCTTTGGAAAGTACTACCTCCTGACCATGTACCTTTTTGGGGGTCGATCAATTCCCCGAAACACAGCCTATCAGTCTCAACACTGGCAGTTTGAAGTTCTTGCACACGTACTGCTTCATCCACAGGCAGACCAAAGGCGCTAGCGCCTCTCTCTCGTCTGCCGCAATAGAGCCCCAGCCTGCAACTCTCGCTTTTCCCTGACCACGTCCAGTTGTTTTGTCTGCCTGATGTGAACTGTAATAGAATTAAAACAAATTAAAACAAAATTCTGACTGACAACTGCAGCTTCATAGCTTTGGTGATTGAAAAGATGATTTCTCATGACCGAAAGATAAAAAAATGTACACAATCAGAACAACAAGTTAACACTTCAATTTTGCTGGTTTATTCGTACATGAAGGACAGGTCTGGTGCAGGGTACAACAAGTCTCTTAGTTAATGAAAAAACTTTTAACTGCTTATATAGTGTGTTGCTCTGGAGGATGTAACTAACATCTGTTGACCTGGAGACCTTCACCACTGTGTGTAACTTTTATTACTTCCAACCCCACAAAGGGGTGCATCACTAAAGTCTGGAAGTGGCAGATGTAGATATACAACAAACAACAATATAGCAATAAAACCCAGACATGTAATGGATCCTTTGGCAACCTGTTCACCCCAAAGGTCAGCAGCTTACCTAAGGTATTCATTCTTCACATCCTAAAAAACAAACCACCTAGGTAATATTTATTATAATAATAATATAACACTGTACTCATTCTAAAGTTACACGTGTAATGTTTTGTTAGAACCTGACTTCAGCAGATGGCTGGAAAGCTACATTTATTGTCAGTATTTGATTTTACTGTGCTTACCTGTTTGGGGTAGATGAGCCACTGCTCAAACCATGTGGACCTGTTGCTTTTCCAGGACGTAGCCTCTTGAGCTTCGCCCTCACCTCCTCCACTGTAAAGGACAGGAGACTTGACCCCAGTGTGGAGGGAGATGCAGCTGCAGTGTCAGGTTGTGAAGCAGATGGCGTAGGAGAAGCTGCAGCTGAGGCAGTGGAAGAGAGAACAGGCGAGGCTGTGTCAAACCGTTCCTGTACAACAGTGTTGAATCCATTGGCCTTGTCCACAAACCTCTTGCCTGGCCAGTGATGGTCCTCATCCCCTTCCACGCCTCTTCCTTTTGTAGTCCGCCTGATGTATGTACTGTATCTGTATGTATCTATATGTGTCTGTATCTGTATTTCTATGTATCTATATGTAGGCAAATCTGTATATATCTGTATGTATCTGTATGTATGTATCTGTATCTGTATCTGTATCTTTATGTAGACGTATCTATATATATCTGTTTGTATCTGTGTCTGTATGTATCTGTATTTATCTGAATGTATATGTATCTCTACAAGCCATTCTTTTCGACCAGAGGAAAACACAAGAATTTGATATGGAGTCTGCTCACTATAACACATACACTGCAGACTGTCATTGCAGTGAGAGGTCTTGTTGAAAATTGTACTAGTAAAGTAAACTGAAAGCCTTCACCTTACTGTGGCTGTACTAGTGTGCTTTGTCTGCTGCTATAACAGTATATTTCTCTCACTAAATAAGTAACAATAAACATTATCCTACATTTCTTTTTCACACTAGCCAAACCCTCTCTCAGCTGTTTTGTTATCTTGTTAATTTATCACTAGCTTTAAAACTGCTGTGGCAAACATGTATGCATGCAGCAAAATAATGAAAAGAAAAAATCAAATAGTAGCTTCACATCCATTGAAAATGGGTTTCTTTATTCTGAGTCAACGACAAAAAACTTAAAAACTTTACTTGTAATTAGCAGTCAATCTGATTGGCAATCAGTAACAACAGCTGCCATGTTTGGATTATAAAAAGGAAAAATAAATTCTTTTGGAAAGCAAAAAACAATATCATTACCTTATTGGTTGGAAGTCATATTGAATCTTAAACAAATGTATACATGTCGGTTTGAGATTGTGGTAGCACAGAATTGGTAGACAAAGGTCACTCAGCTGTCAGATTTATTTTGACTATGCAGAAAAAATATCAAATGTTCAGTATATGCAAAGTTCCATAACCAATATAAGAAAAAACAAACTTCAGTAGTGCTTCGTACAGGGTAAACAATAACATGCAAAATCTGTATAATGCCCACTTACAGTTATTGTTGTTATTTGACACCTACAGAATTTCAAATCAAAACAAATTATACATCTATATTTCTTTTTGAAATACATAAATAAAGCAGGTTAACTAAATATTTTCCACCTAAACATTGTCACATTCCAAATATGATGCAAAACCAAAGAAAATATTTTGAAAACTGACACTGTACATATAATGAAGATGGTGTTAACGTTTCGTTTGAATTTTGTTTGAGTCTTTTTCCCCAATGTGAGGGATGTCCATACCAAGGATGTCCCTGCATCATTAAGGATGCAAGCAACATTGAGGAAGATCATTACAGAAAAAATCTGAAATTTTCACATGGGGAAAATCACTTTTGGAAATAGCTTTATGTTATTGTCACCAGTTTGAATTATTGACATATTGATATATATTGAACATAATTTCTGAGAAACTATATTGTGCATGTACTAGTTTACCATGGCTCTATAATAACAATGAGCCTAGGCCACTGTTGGTATGTAGAACAACCAATCAGTGGCATGAATCAGAGTTGATGAATAATACCCAAGTTATGAATTTCCATCTACAGTGGCAAATAATGCTCTCGGGGGTGCTCCAATGCAGAAAGTAATGACCTTAGACCTAAGAATAAGGAAATTGTCTTTCTAGTTATAAACAAGCTACCGAACTAAAACCATGACAAATAGCTAGAAAATTGGATAGATAATTGATCAAAACTTACATTTCTTCCTTGTTTGCATAAAAGCAAGCCAAGTAAATAAGACAAATGAAGAAACTTTTTGTATAAAAAATGTGTTTGTTCCATATTTGTGCAAAAAAGAAATGTAAAATTTCAGGCAGAAAGTAAATTGACGCGTTCAGATAGAAAATGTGATAAGATGTAGGCCCAAATTTTTTTCACATCAACCAACTGTCCAACTTTCCTCTCAGTTCACTTTTGATGTTTGGAAGATGATATGAACAGTCCAAACACATCAACAGCTTCAGACAGAAGCTGAAGGGAGAATGGGGAGAGTGAAAGAAAAATCAGGGGAGTGTATCTGTAAAGTAAATTACCAGATGAATGTTTCGATAAGTTATTTTTTCAAGGACAAACAAACAACAATAAACAAAATAAAATTGTTTGCTAATTGTGGTTATGACACCATTTGCATATTGCTGAAGGTCACTGCAGTCACATTTACAGACAAAATACAAGGAGATTGATACAATTAAACCAAAACACAATTAAATACACAAATCAATAGTAAGCAAGTGGACAAAACATTTAAAATGTCTAATTGTTCGTGTTTTGTCTTTTTCCTGTGATTTTCATTTATGTGTCAAACTCTTGACTTAAATTTAAAAATGAATAAGTGGAGCTCACCCACTAAATAGGTTTTGTAAGTACACTTGCACCTGTTGAAACAAGGAAACATTTATTTCAATTTCAAAGTACTAAACTGAAAAACTGGAAAACCAACAAATAAATAAAACTGGAACACAATTTTGACAACACCTGTCAATATGACATAAGGAATGCTTCTGTACATTTGATCTGAAACAGGAAAGTCATTATTATTACTAGTTTGTGTTCAACACATGGGCAAAAGGCATTTCTCTCAGGGTATTTGAATGTTCTAACAGCCAATTGTGGTGGGTGTTTTTTCTTTAACAAAGAATTTATACTTTGAGTGACAAAGCAATAAATAATTTTAAAAATGCCCTTGTGAAAGTGTTTGAGTCAAAAGGAAAAAAATCTGTATTTACATGCAACAGTAGTCGTATAGCATGTTATAGAGCCTGAATATGCAGCATGCAATTTCTGAAACTAGTAAAGAAAGTGTTGATTTACAAGAGGAAGTTTTTCAAAAACTATAAATGTATGAAGGAACAACTATTAATCACCCTTTGTTTTTCCCCTGTATGTTTTTCATCTATGCAATATATTTACAGACTGTAGACTGTATTTCTATACATACAATACATACAATTTCTCTTATATTGTACAATACTTACAATTTACAGCATTCAATTGTGATGTCATTTGTATTTTATTATATTTCATATATGACATATTATAGTATTTCCACAGTCATTCAAATGTAATGTAATATGATGTAATAGCTGCAAGTAAAAGTATTTTTAAAAAGGCAGTATCAAGAAGGAATCATCAAGAGGGTCTCCCTTTGTTTTTTAGTTTTTCATGGAAACACATGGCATCTATCTGCGCTGTGAGCTGCTCTGAATTCTTAATCACAGTTGCAGTATTGATGTCACATTAAACACAACAAATAGCATGTGCTAAGTGTCCATGACTCGTTCTCAAGAGTTTATAGATCAAAGTGTGCGCAGTCATCATTAATACGTCAGTAGGTACACAGACTGTACCTAGGTACATTGTCTCCCTGTGGCTGTGATGGTTGTACTTCTCAGTTTTATTGAGGTTAATCTGCTCACTATACCACTGGAGCCTTCAACATTACGGGCCCTGGGTCCAGCCACCTGGAAAAATGTTGAAGTGCCAACTCCAACTCACAGAGATCTCCAAATGTCTTCAGCTTCTGTATGCAGCTCCTTGGAGACAGTCTTGGGTTGCCCTACTTCTTGGCCAGTTGGAAAGGATGTTGACCCTTTAAATGTATGTGTGAATACAATTTAATCAATTCAGAAACACAAGCAAAAGAAATAAGGGAATTAAAATTTGGAATCAATAAAAGGTTATTTCTCATTAGTCTTTGATGTCCAGTGCATTTTACAGATACTTATTTATACTGTATCAGACAGAGAAACAGATAAGACCAGAGAATAGGCAGACTGGGGACTACTGGTTCAAATCCTGGTCAGCCGGTGGACTGTCACATCTATAAACATCTATCAGATTTTTAAAGTTTTTTTACCAGTCCCATCATTGGCTTCAACAGCCCCCTGTGTGTGCCTGTCTTTCATGTGAGCTAGTCCCAGTGAATAAGTCCAAGGTTGAATTTCTTTTTCATGTCTGACTGTGGACCAGAGCCAACATTGGTCTGGCTTTTCTGAGTAGGAGAGCCCTAGCCCTAGCTGCTAAAGGGTCCAACTTGACTCAGGACTGGGTTTTATAATGTTACATGTCTGTTTTCATTAGTGACGGCTTCAGTAGACAATGATAACCTTTGCTAACTTGCAAATATTATGAATTTGTTCAGCAATATTGCTATTGCTAGCTAGCTAACTATCAGCAATGCTGTGGAGCATATCACAGCAATGCTAGCGTGGGCTAATGTTTGTGTCTGGATTGTTTTTGTTGGCTCTCGTGTTCACACTGGGCTTTGTAACACTGTGGTGAGAAGATGGAAGATGAAGGAATAGGTGCGGTGTGGCTGAATGTGGGCCTGGAGGTGTGGCAGACAAATCATATTGGTGCTCTATGAGACATCTAGTTGCAGTGATGATTGCATACAGAATCTTTAAACTGTATGATGTTAAAGCTCAGGTAAAGATTTCCCTTTATTGTTTTGTAAAATTATGTGTCTTGTACATCATGACCACAGTGTTCAGTACATTAGATAAAACAATAATTAATAACACAAGATGTATATATTACTTAATGTAATTAATCTCATGGGAATCTCTGCTTCTCTCCCTAAGTGTAGGTTTAAAACATTTCTGAAAACAAAGCCAAAAGCCTCAGTAATGTATATTTAATTATGATATGCACTTTGCAGGGCAATCAACATTCTGAACATTTCAGAACATATCTGCAGTTATGTATCTACAAATATATGTCAAACTGACAGCCAGCTGGTGACTAAGGCATGAGATAATGTGGGGTACTGTGCATCAAAAGCACATTGTTATTTATTACGTTATTATTTATTTCTGTCAAGGATCCAATAACAATCTCTCATGGTTGTCAACATCAAATCCAGGCAGAACAGGAACAAATGTTTGTCAAATATCAGCATCATATAATGGATCAAGCTTCACTCTGGTCAGTCCATCCATTTCTTTAACACTAAGTCACTTCATAAGGTTAATGAGGTTAACTAAATTAGTACAGTTACACCATAGATAAAATGTACTATTCTTCTTGATTTAAAAAGATCTCCACTGTCCAAGCAGGTTATAGCTTTCTTCATAAATGGACAAGACAATGTGAGGGCTGTATACTAAAAGGCAATCCACAAACACTTCAGTCAATACGCAGAACCTGACAGCCATTAAGCAGGAAGTGGTTGCCCATACAATTTGGCAAAACTATTTACAGTGAATTGAAAAAAGTGGGAATATACAAGAAGCTAAAAAAAGAGCAGTCCTGCTGTACAACGAAACATTTAGTTTTGAGGGTCTTTCATGCCAGAAGTTTAAAGCTTCAAATGGTTAAGACATCTTGGTTGACACCCTTCTCCATGACACAAGTTTTGACACAAATGTTATCAGCAAACTGTGATTGTCAGGACTACTTTCCTTGTTAACAATCAGACCTCAAATAATTTAAGGCTGTCCCATAATTAACACACCACTTGACCACTTTGTGTTGTAAAATGTTGAGTACATAATGTAAAACAACATAACAACTTGTACAGTTATATAAATTTCTATTTTTGTTTTATAAAGAAGCATTGTGGGAAACATGTACTGGTGTGGGCGTAGTGGTGTTTGTTCAGTGTGTACAATGTAGTAATATGTAAATCTTGCTGTGCCAGCTCATCCAAACCACTTTCCCCAGCTATAGATAGAGTTCCTGGTGCAAAAACCAGGATACTATCCCTCACTATCTCCCCCTCCACCAGCATTACTAGTTGTATTGTTTACCATTTACCAAAACTGGAGGATTTGCTGTCAGGAACTACATAGCCCAAATTTTGGCTATTTAGCTAATAGCATGATTAATTGATGTATACAGTTATATTTATGACCATTCCTATTTTACTGCCTTTTTGTCACTCCATAGTAATAACAATCAAAAAATACAATGTACAGTAGTTATTAAATACACAATACAATACACAAAATGTTACTATGTTATGAGTATCTGTTTTTATTACTTTTTAAATTACAGTATCTGCAGTTATTATGTTATGCACACTTATTACATTATTAGTTTTTACAATACCCATACTTCATGTCAATCTGGCCATTACATATCAAAATATCTGTCTCTGGACCAAGGCTGATGGACCAACGCTGCCCACCTTAGCTACTATATCTATATTACATCTCTTAGTATGGTGACAGCACTAAATCTGGTATTTTAAGTCTGTATATTAAAGATGAGCATGTGACCAAAACCAAAATGCAGACTTCAAAGAGTCATAACTGTGTTAACATTTAGTGAATTTGAAACTCATTTAGATTCACTGCTTGTCCATGTTTTACTTTATCAAAAAGAGGAGGGTTCAACTAAGACTTTCTAAATGCCAATACATAATTTTCCCAGCCCCACAACTCAGTGCAGCATGGTCTATGACAACAGAACAAAACAACATAATGCAATAAGTTAATAAGCATTATCCACTTCAAATTATGCACAAATATCATGCATATGCAGCAACATTATACTTTTTGCTTAACCAGTCATATTAAAATAATGCATAGATATAAAAATCAAATATGTAAACACTATCATTATTAAACGATCTGTACATACATTTTGCCATATCCTTTGGGGATTTTTATTTTTTCCCCTAAGTATAACAGAATAGGGAAAAGTTTTTTTTTTAAAAAAAAAATAAATATTCTATGTACAATCACATCAGCCATTCCAAAGTTATTGTCACTGCAAAAAAAGCAAAAGGCAAAAAGATATCAAATGTTAGTTCAAACAACATTGTGAAGTTTGCATACAGTATGTGAGCTACTACAGCGATGAGCAGCAAAACAAGACAGTGTCACACTCTCCAACTTACTTTATTCCAACATCCTGGTACAGGTAAGCCATCGTCCCCCTGGAAAAGGAAAAATCTGATGTGAAACACCAAATACTGTACACTGCAGAGATTAACAAAATTATCATGCAAGTGTGAAGCAACAATGCAAACAAAAGTAGTTCACAATTCTCTTTATAAATAAATAAATAAATAAAAAAACATTTGAAACCAGCATTTTACTTTCTAGAGTAGTGAAGTGGTATTTTGGCTAATTCAGGCTTCTGGAAGTAAAAATCACATTTTATTTCTGTGTATTCAAATTAATGACAGATGTTTTGCTTCTTTTTACGCTGGTGCAAGGAAGTGTTATTTTCCCTGTACTTATATAGATAAGTACTATGAATTATTATTATTCATAGGAATAATAATAATTATTGTACACTGCAGATAATTATTATTATTATTACTATTACTATTATTGCTGCTGTTATTATTGATAGAACCATTGGGTATGGTTATTATTATTGATATTTTTAGTACAATCAGTCTTTGCTTAAATACAACAGTATGTATACAGCTATTCCTGGTCTCTTTCTCTCTGTGCTATACAAATAAAATTGAAATGAAATTGAATTGATTATTTCAGCAGCAAGCACATACATTTACTTAAACCTGAAGGGAAAAAGCCACTTATATTTTACTCATTCAGCATTTAGGGTTGACACTTTCATTTGTATGGCTGACCATTTGGTAACATATAAAAGCAGTGAGAGGTTTCGCAGAGGCATATAAATTGCTGAATGAGACTTTGGATTAAAACAGTAATTAAGTTGTCTATTATTCTTTTTTAATTTCTGTCAATGTAATGCATTTCATCATAATTCTTATTTTCAATGGTAATATTTTTGTAGTGAAATAAATTGTCATCAACAGACAACAGTGTAGAATGCTCCATTAATTGACACAAAATTCAATTTGCAGAAACCACATAACACATTCATCAGTTCACTTTCAGATTAATTTGTTAACGATTTGATAACGTATTTTGTTTGTAATTGCAAAGACAAAACATCCTAAATTTGCTACACTCGCCACTGATCTCTTCTATCGCATCAGTCATGATTATTGTAGTATTCATCTATTTGCTATAACAAACTGACATCATAAAACAGATTATCATTTATTTTCAGGTTATCATCAGTTAAACAGAATACCGTATTCTTATATTAGGGAGCATGAAGGATATTGTTAAAAGAAACTTTTACTTCCCATCCCATATTATATTATACTGTATATTAAACACACAATTCATAATTTTGGAATGTGGTCTTATTTAATACACAAATAGTCCACAGTGACACAAGGTGAACATTAAACCAAAAATATTGATCTTTTCCTGACGTCAACTAAACTACAGACAGGATGTGAACCTCGGGCTCTGGTGTCATATTCATGCACTTGGTACCTGGACCATCCACTCTGACCACATCCCCACGACTCTGAATGTTGTGCTTCATCCATTCCCTCCTGCCATATTTGCCAGTACATAAATGGGAAACCAATTTATCAATATTTGAACCTAATTTGTGGGAGACAGGGTTGCTACATCTCACAAACTCTGTTTTTAATATGAATTTGGAGATGCTTTGAGAATTGACTGTAGATGAAAAGATGTATGTTCGACTGTTCGAATGTTTAGATAATGACATAACTCCTGAAACTGCCAATGTTATGAACAACTGTTTAAAGTAACATTGAGTTGTCTGTTGTCGTGTGCACATTTAATTCTACAAACTCATCTCCAAACCAGTCGGCAAACAGTGGAAACAAAAGCAGAAACCATGACAATATACTTGTTGCTTTACTAAACTTAGAAGTGAGAAGCGAAGTACTTGGTGAGGCTAATGAAGTCTGAAAATGGAAATGTAACCTTCCATGCTAATACCAGGACTCTGCTTTGACCAAGTAAATTCATCTGTGGTATACTGTTGCCTGGAGGGTTGAATAAATTCGTGCTCCATGCAAAAGATGGTGTGGAAAACTATGGAAAAGCTCTAATATAATAAATATTACAATTTCAAGGCTTTATTAGAAAAATGATTATACTGATTATGTAATTGGTAATATTAGTCACAATCATACATCTACTGTACATCTGAAGTTAATATAGAAAGTTTTACTTGTAATGATGGAAAGGTTGAGTTAAAGGAGTATTTGTTCTCAGGGGGAAATGCTTGTTCATGTTAGTTCTATAGGAGATCAGTTGGAAAAATTCTGACTTATTACGTGATTCAACTACAGTAAGTATGTTTAAACTTTCATGCAAACATGCATGTTTAATGTGTGTAAACTGCAACATCTGAGCGCCCACAGGCAGGTGTGTGGTTAGAGATAGCTACAGACATGCTAGGAAAAGTCAAGGGAAAGAAAGAGCACCATACCACAGGGCAAGGGGCATCCAGCCCGTCCAGGCCTGGCAAGCCTGGTTCACCTTTCTCCCCTTTAAAGCCACGGAAACCCTGTTTGTGAAATCAACCATTTAAAAAAACGATGTTGCAGCTCATGTGCAGCAGAGGAGTGTGTCCTCCACTCCTTGATGGTAGGAGGATCTCCACTTCTGTCCACTGGGTGACTGGATGCAGGTTTCCTAAGCATGCAGGCAACCTGGGACTGACAGGAATGGGGATCACTGTGATGAGTTTGAAAGATTTATAAAGCTTTCAGTGTGGGGTGTGATGACCAAGAGTTTCTTTCATAACAACTTTGGAGTTACTACACTATGAGAATGAGTTTAATGTAAAGATCTGCTGTCAACCTGAATACCAACAAAGTATTGGGTGTGGGATCAGGCTTGGATCATTTTGTGATGTAATTTGGGCTTGGGTCAAGTTTGAGCTCAGTCATTACTTCTTTGTGTTGAAAGGAGTAAGCTGAGGCAGCAAGACAAAATGCTTTGGAAATATTTTAATACTCATCAGCAGAGGCTACCTGATTCCTGTCTGTCTCATTCCTGGAAAAAAAGGCTCCTCAGGCAGAGTTCTGGTCCATTCAAGGAATTTTTCTCCCTGATAAATTTATTTTAAAATGTCCCCTGCGGCATTTCCTTTGCTCAAATGAAATCTTTTTGTTGAATCGTAGCATCAGCTACATATATCACATACATTATCTCCCCATATGTCTGTCAGGCTGCAGAAAGCAACTGGACCAAACCCTTCCTGAGTTTGATTAGAACCACTGAGTACCAGAGCCAAAGGGAAACTGCCTACAGAATACAAATCTTCAGCTGAAGCTCTATGGAATTATGTTGTATTCTAAAATAGGGCTCCTTCCCTTTGACTCTTGGCTATACATTAGACTACTGACATACCAAAGGACAGGGGGCATCTAATCCAGGTGCTCCTTGGTCTCCCTTATCCCCTTTGGCCCCCCTGTTGCCTTTCTTGCCCCTCTCTCCCTGCAAACAACAGCGTATTAAAAAAAGACAAACTTTAGTCCTCCTCATGAAACCACACATGAAGCAAATCTTTGTTTTTTTTTTGTTCTTAAATGTAATTTAGATAATATTAAAAATAAGTTATTTAGATTTACTAATGGAGTGTGATTTACTATTTTCAAAAGACAATATTATTTTTAATGTAATTTAGTGTAAAAGGAAGGTTAAGTACAGGGGGTTAGGGAGGAGAGATTAAAGCCAGTGCTCTTGGTAAGCAGGTTTCATCCAAGCATCCCAAAGACTACTACTACCTACTGTACATAAAAGCAGCTTTTGGAAGACTTGTGAAAGAGTGAGAAAGCTCAGTGAAAAGGCAGTTACATATACTCTCTTATTTTCTTCATGGAAGATATACTGAACAAAACATTAAGTATGAAAATCAACATATGAGGGAAACAGGATAATGCCCAAAAATAACAATAACAATATTGTTAATTTTCTGGTTTCCTACCAACAGTCAGTGCTGCTTTAAGATATTACAGTGTTCTGTCTCTTATTTGTTCTTGGGTTCATGAGGATGAAGGTTCCTTACCTTGACACAGTAGTTGTTTTAAACCCACCGTGATTGTTCCCTAACCCTGAAACAATGACTTATCTTATCTCTTTAAAGGGGAACTCTTTTTACACATTGAGTTCTATTCTAATGATCCAAAGCTAGGGCATTTAGGGTGTGCCGTGTCTTTTTTGCTATTACTATTATTTTTCATTATAATTTTGGGCATTTTGCCTTTATTCAGACAGTACAGTGAGAGATAGACAGGAAATCCAGGGAGAGAGAGAGAGGGGATGACATGCAGCAAAGGGCTGCGGGTCGGACTCGAACCGATGGCCGCTCGGGTTAGGACTAGGACTCAGCCTTAATGGCTCACCGAGGCGCCCCATCTTTTTTTGCTATTTTAACAGTGTAAAAAACTCCCTGTGCCAGGCACGTTTCAGAAGGGTTGTACTCTAAATTATTCATGGGAGTATTTTGGGCGTAAAATCCAATAAATCAATCACAGTGCCATCTCCCATTCCCTTTATAAGCCAGGTGCACTTGCACCTTAGCAAATTGCTATTATAATGGCGCAATGTATCACACTGAGATTCTGATGGCAGTCAGTTGATTACATATTGTGACTGACCAGTGAGTCCAGTCCTGACACAGGCAGCAGCTCTGTGACTGAGGGGCAAAGAATGGCTGAGCGAATCAACGTGCTACTCACAGCTCTAAAGTGAAGTAACAGCACAAATCACAACGTTAGAAATATTTTGTTATATGATGAGAAGTGAGAATAAATCTTCAGTTCATTATGAAACTGTCGTGGACAAATTTAGGTAATGAATGGGAAACACTGTGGAGGATTTACCAGGTAGTAAGAAAGAACGCTTCTCTGCAGTCTCATGCAAGAGACATCCATGACACATGACAATGTTATACAACTCACATGTCACAAAGAAGCTCCAACCTTCTGAGGCTGTATTGTAATGTTCCCCCTGACTTATCCCAATATCTAAAAGCATTTTGAGCTCACTCTGCTTTTGTGTAACAGACAGAGTGTATGAACTCTGTGCACCTGTTGGCACATATTACTCTCTTGACAATGAGCCCTTAAAATAACAGTAAACTGCACCACTGACTTAAGACCAGGTTTTTCCTGGTCAATAGTGCAATCACTTTCCGCTGCCTCAAGATCAAACAATGCTCCTGACCACACCTCATTATAATATAAACATGCCCATTGGTGCACAGATAGGCGCAAGTGTATTTGCTATTTAAACAGCTTGGGCACTGGATGGGAAAATGACAAATGTGTCAGTATGAAACTGGTAAAGACAGTTGTGTTACGCTTTGCGCCAGGTGTAAGATTGGGCCCATTGACTGTTTACAGGTGTTGGCTACTGTATGTGAAGAAAGTGGTATGAAAAATTTTGTGGCTCCAGGGGGAGCTGTGTGAAGTCTGATAAATTGTATTGATTTTGCTTGAGTCACTGTCATTCACATTTCATCAGCTGCTACTATCATAACATGTGACTGAACTGGTGGCAGCCAAGCTGCATTGTGGGTAATGAGGCACCAGGTTTTGACAAGGAAGATGAATGCATGGAAAAAAACAGACAGTAGCTCTGATTCTGTTATATCAGTCTTTTCTTTTGGTGTGTTGATTGTATAGCAGTACAATCTGTGGTGTTCATTTCAAGTTTGCAGTACTTGGTAAGACTTCATTTCTTACTGTAGTTTACAAGATGAGACTGAACAACTGCTTGATCAACAACAGAATACCTGCCCATGAAGGTCAAAGGCTGGAAGGGATCAGATAAAGAAATGACTACATTGGACTATATGATAAAACTTGCTGCAGTGTTCTCCCACTGCTGTCTTAGCATCACCTGCACAACTGAAATCTCATGTTTTAGACTGTTGTGGTTTGAGGCTACAGTATGAAATGGCTCAAATACTCAAAGTGAATTAATGTTCCTCACAATCAGAGATCAGATAATCACTATAACTGCAGTCTTGCTACTCATTGACAGAGCTGTTTTGCCACTAGGTAAATTATTAAGCTTCCATTTGCTATTTTTTTTGCAAATCATAACAAGGCTACAGAAATGGCAAATGAATTATTGGTACCTATTGTAAAGGTAATGATTATATGTTGATAACCTGACAATCTGATTACTGTGTGGAATCTAGACTAACAAATTAAAATGATCATCTCAGATTAGCTCAGAAACATGCTAAACTTTTGGTGTGCTAACATCTGAGTATAGCATACAATTTGACAGTGATGTGAGCACTGCTTGCCAATTTGGGGTATGGGTCATGGGGTCAGGGGTTGGAGGGACTACATGAAAGCTTGCAAGGAAGAGGGATTGTTAAGTAGGAGCAGGAAGAGTAAAGAGGATGTGTAAGAGCAGAAAGATTAACCAAGGTCAAGGTTTGTGAGAGGGAGAGAGGGCAACCCGGCAATAAACAGAACCACGGGCCACAGAGCAAGGTGGAGGGAAGGAAAAGGGGATAGGAGGACCTGTGGAAACAAAAAAAAAGACAGGACAAAGAGTAAAAGCACCAACACTATCCCATAGCTTTGTCTTCAACACCTTCAACTGGACAGGCATGTTGAGGTTTGTTTACATCCTGTACATTGAAAATAATAATTTCTTTTGACCTGAGGCCAGTTGAATGTGCTGAAAGGGCTTATGAAATGTGAATACTTAAAAGATGGGAGTGGAAATATTAAGAGTCACAGGTTAATGGGAAGGAAACAGACATTCTCTTAGAGGAGGGGTATGTTGACATTTAGAAACAGATTGTCTGATATAATGCAGACTGGAAATGAAATACAGTTTTCATATTGAGTGCAAATTAAAGGAATAGTTCAATATATGCTTATTTGTTTCATTTCCAAGAGTAAGAAGGTAGATATCAGTCTCATTTTTGTGTGATAAGCACAGAGCTAGAGTTTTTAAAGTAGCTAAAGGCTAGAAGAAGGGGAAAACAGCTAGTGTGACAGTGCAGCATCTCTAGGGTAAAGCATGTCACCTCACTGTGCCCCAAGAACTTAGAAAGCTGCTCACACTCACTGCACCCAACCAGCAATAACTACACCACGTAGCTCCCCCTACAAAGCACAAATTGTGATCTGTACATTGATGTGTGGATTTAAAAAAATGTGACATAATATATTAATTAGTGAGTTAAGGAATACAGCAATGAGGCATAAACCTTTGAGATTATTCTTTTAAGAGATCTGGCATAGACCATGACATTTTATAATTCTGTCAGTTTCAAGCAGAACCTGTTCTTCCCTAAAAGACACTATAAAATGATAGATATTTGAAAAAAAAATTAGAGGAATATTGAAAATCAATTCTAATTTGACTTGGAGTTGGAGAAAGTTGGAGATCAACAGGCCTGCAAAATCTGATCAGGGTCTCATGCAAGAGACATCCATGACACATGACAACGTTATACAACACACGTCACAAAGAAACTCCAACCTTCTGAGGCTGTATTGTAATGTTCCCGCTGACTTATCCCGACATCTAAAAGCATTTTGAGCTCACTCTGCTTGTGTGTAACAGACAGAGTGTATGAGCTCTGTGCACCTGTTGGCACATATTACTCTCTTGACAATGAGCCCTTAAAATAACAGTAAACTGCACCACTGACTTAAGACCAGGTTTTTCCTGGTCAATAGCGCAATCACTTTCTGCTGCTTCAAGATCAATGCACTTATCCCAAATTATCCCAACATCTAAGAGCTTTGCCAACCTACCTGCAAAATGTTGGGGTCAAGTAGCATGCAAGCATGCAAATAAGGTTGAGTGTAAGGTTGAGTGTAGAAAAACTGGTTGAAGTGTAAAATGAAATGTAGACATAAGAGCCTGAGTTCCAGTTAACTGGCACAACAAAATAAAGTCTTCAAAAAGTCAGTTTTGAAGTCATTACTCTCCCCTATGCTGTCCAAAAACAACAGGTTAAAAAAATCCATCTTAACATTAACAGACAGTAACAGCTGAGACACTTGAGACAACATCCAAACTCCAGGATAAGTAGTAAACATCACTGTGAGTCTTCAGTCTCATCTTAGAAAGGACATAGACTAAATTTGACAATCTTAGGATTTTTGCAAGGACTGCTATTTTGCAGGTCAACTTTCAGTCGGAACAACTCCACAGCCATCCTCTGAGCAGAGACTCTGTCCTGCTCCATAAGCTTCTCTAAGAGCCACTAATTTGGAAAAGTTGGAAAGAGCACCCTTGGCCGAGGAGACAGATGTTTTATTTCCTACAGGGCTCCGTCAATAACATCTAAACAAGCACCAACAGACTCAACCATGCCATTTGCAAGAGAGGCCACAGACTTTACCTTGGCCAAGATTTGCTCCATAGTTGCTAAGCCAGTTAGCTCTGTGGTACTAGCTTTATCACTGTCACACCGCATTGAGGTCTATTTGGGGTTTTGTCCCGTCTCCGTGTTTTGTCTTGTCATTTCCTGTTTTAGTTTGAAAAGTATCTCTCCTCTCGTTTCAGGTCACTTGCCCTTCCTCATGTGTCTTGGTCTGATTGCCCTCTGAGTGTTTTCACCTGTTCCCCTTGCCCAGTGTTTAAAAAGTCGGTGTCTCCCTTTGTCTTGTGCTAGTTTGTTTCGTCTGCATGCGTGCATCCCAGCTCTTCGTCACAGCCCTTGTAACAGCGTTCCTGAAGTTTTGTGTTCTTCTTCCTCCAAGTGAGAGTTTTGAGTTGCAAGTTTATATCCTAGTTTGGTTTCATAGTTAAGGATTTCATAGCCTTTTGTTTTCTCCGTGTGGAGTGATCTTTTGTTTACTTACCTTTTATAGAGTAGAGCCTCCAGTTGGCTGGAGAGTTTTTTATTTACAGATAACGTTTAATAGCCCATTGTGTTTTCCTGCTTTAGTGGAGTGATTATTATTTTGATATTTTTCATAGCCTCATGTATAGTGAGGGCTAGCTTTATAGCCTATTTATTTCTCCAATTGGAGGCGCTCTGAAGAGACAATAAAAACAGTCAATTGAATCCTGCATCTGTGTCCTGAGTCCTTGCCTGGTCATGACAATCATGTTGGTCCTTGTTGGATGCGTGTTGAGCACCTTTCTTCTTATTAGCATGTGGACCAATAGGTGCAAAAATAGGACAGGCTTTGCTGTGTTGCTGATTAGTGATCTCTACAGTAAAATATGACTGCTATTTTCAAGTCAGCTTGGAGGAAGTTAAGACTGCATCCAAAATCTAGAGCGGAGCACAATCTCAAGTGAACATCTCTATAACTATAATACTATAACTGTTTTAATGCACTGACATGAGACTGATATCCACCTTCTCTCAAAAGGTCTAAGTGAATCTGCATTAGGATGTCACACAGAGGAAAATAAAACAGGAGGATTGCTTGAGGAAAACATAGCTGTCTCAAGATCAAGATAATTTCTCACAATTATCACACTCTATATTTTATTTTACTTACACACACACATATATATATATATATATAAAAATTTTTTTTCTTTTTTAAATACAGATGCACAACAAACAAATACATTTGACATCTTGATCTTAAATTATTCAGAATCATAAATCAAATTATAAAAGTGAACTATCTGACTCATCTGGTTATCTTTTAATATGTGATATTTATTGATATTCAGCTCTTTATTTCACATTTTTGAGAGCATGTTTGAGGTCATTACAACTCTAAACAATGCAAATACCACCCTGACCTGAAATATATCTCACAAACACTAAAGTGTCTATGAAATCTAATGTGTATCCATTAGCTGTTCTGCTATGTTTAAAAATGGTTAAACATTACAGGTAATATCTTACCCTGTTCCCTTTGAGTCCTTGTGGTCCTACTAAACCCTGCAAAAACAAATGACAAATAACATTAGTGGCTTTGCATATTCCCTACACTTTGGGAAAATATGCTTGTTTGATAGTTTTTTTGTGAGTGCTCTGATACTCTGTCAGAAGTTTAGCAAAATGTTTTATAAACATGTTGCTTTCCATGATGTTGTTGTGATGACTATTTAAAATGGAAATACAGGCTTACAGGGATGCCTTGAGGCCCAGTTGGTCCTGGTAATCCTGCATCTCCCTTTTCACCCTGCAGTGAGAAAGAGAGAGAAAATCCAAAGTGTATATTCTTCTAAAAGTGAATTCATGACAATGGGATGGACGAACAGACGTCCATCTTTGGCATTCTTCTGGATGGAAGGATGGACACACCACAGAACAACATAATGTCTCCAGCCATGGCTGTCACTGGCACAGAGGCATAAAAACACACACATACACAGACACTCACTCTATCTCCCTTTGGTCCTGCTGGCCCTGGCACACCTGCTGGTCCTATTAGACCCTTTGAAACAAAAAATAGAAAGTAAATACCTCTCAGCAGATACAGACAGAAAAGCACTAGGGAAATTGTTAAATCAGTAAATCAACAAGCTGTCCGGTGGACATGGATATAATAATATGTAATTTTCAGATCCATTTTCCCTCACTTGGAGGGAAAGGGTTACATCTTCATTTTTGGCCCTGACACATGTACCATTAAAACACCAAGCTTGTTGAACTACTGTCCAAACTGTTAAAAAAGCAGGAAAAATGAATAAAATGTCAACAGCTGCATTTCTCTATCTGAGTAGCAGTCAGGATTGGAGAAAAAGATGTTGCATCTCAGGCATATCCAGTGCGTACAGTGTTGTATGCATACAGCTGTGTGAATGTATTATGCATGCAGTACGAGCATCCCTGCATGCTCCTTATAGATTCTGAGCAATAGCAGCTTTATAGCCAGCTTATGGAATTGGGTCAGGATGCAGGGAACTGTGGAGGCAGGATTGAGGACTGAGGATTTACATTATTATGGTGTCTGTGTTAGACAAGATGGAAGTTCAAAGCAGTACTAGACAACATTCCACTTTAATTGTCACAGGTAGCACTGAGAGATAATAAATAGATTTGAGGACGATTTGAAAGACTATTAGTGATGTAATGTAATGCATACAACTAAAATTCAAGAGAGGCCATGGTTGCTCATGATTTGTTTGGGCCACTGTTTGGGCCAAGGTTATGATGTTTTCACATAACCACAATTTGTGGTGCTAGAATATTATTACTCCTTTTTGTGACTGAAGGATAAGTGGACATTTTTGTTCTTGTAGGCCTTTTCTTGTTTATGAATTTCCACTCACATTGATTGCCCTGAGAGCTGCTTTAAAGATCAATAAGGTGACAGTTTACATTTTTTTGCCTGAAACAGGCATTGTGTTTAAACATCTATCCTTGAAATAAAATATTACATATGACTTAGGTGGAAAGGATGCTTAACTGTGATTGAAAAAATGAAAACATGGATATAACTGTGATCACTCAGTGAGTGGTAATGTAAAATATACATTATTAAGAATTTATCAATAAAGCTGTGTGAGCCTACTAATCGTAGGATGTGTGGTTTGACCAGTATTGAGCTTTTTAGACCAGTACTCATCATGGAGCATTAAATCATTTTATAACCTTTTTTACAACTTTTTTTTTTTTTTTTACCTACAACACAAGCAAGGATCCCATAAATCTATTTTTGGAGAATTGTGACTAAGATATATTGTGAGTGGCACGTTTTACATTGGAAATGTAATTCTTTTAGTGATCTTTGCTGGCCCACCTTTGTAAACAACTGTTTCTACATGACCTCAAACATATCTTTGGCATTTTCTATACAAGTGATCCTCGCTTTTCATTTTTTTAATAAATACACAGATTTACAAATATATGCAGTTGCATTGTCGCCATGAAACTAGATTCTTCATGCCAGTGCATCCTCAGAGCCCAACCCTGAACAGTTCTGTCCTAACAGAGCTACTTTATGAAGGAGAAAAGACAGGACAAGCATGGGAAGCAGGAAAGGAAGCGGACATGACAAGCAGACTTGGCAGACATCAAGCAAGCTGTAGCAGGGGGGTGGAGGAGGAAGATGAGAAGGATGAGGGGACCGGAACAGGACTTGCGCCACTCACCACTGGGCCTGGTCTGCCATCTAACCCATGAGCCCCCTGTATAGTGTTGTACACAGTTAGAGCAGAGATGATGGGGGAGAGGGTGGGATGGAGGTTGGGTAATGGGTTTGGTATGGGCGAGGTGGGGGTGTGGTGGGCGTGGGGGGGTGGGGGGGAGGTGGGGGGGTGAGTGAAGCTGTGACTCAAGTGACTTCAAAAACTCATTCAGATGATGACAAATGAAGGGTGATGGAAGTAGTGGAGGTAAAGTGAGTGACAATAGTAGTGAGTAACTTCTTTTTCTGGTCAAGTGTATGACTATGTTGTTGCTCATGGTAATACAGTGTATTTGGTTTTCACATTCATTATCATGATATAACATCATCTAGTTGCCCTCGATTCAACTTGTCTTGAATACCCATGGCCTGGATAACTCACATTATTCACTAACACTGCCTTCTTGTTAGCTGCTCTCTGTCTTTTTTTAACAAGATAACAGGATAAGTCTGGCTCTGTTTCATCCTTCCTGACTGCCAGAGGCGGTGCTGTAAGCACTGGATGTTCTGTCTCGCGTATGTGCAGGCCGAGTATTTAATATCATCAATGTCACCTGTGACCCCAGATGACCCGAGAGAGGGTATATCTTCCGGTGTCATCAGGGAATCAGTTCCTTTTCATCTTCTCGCTTCGCAGGTTCACTACTTCACAAATTTTCTCATTCTTAAAATACACTTGTTGCAGGTAGCCTTGCAACCATGTTGGTCAGAGCTGCGGAATACTCGCCCCCCCCCCGAGAGGCTCCAACGATCTGTCCCTCTGTCGTGAGGGAACGCGGCTGTCTGCCGTTTGTGTTCAGCAGGGTATAGACGTTGGTCCTCCTGCTGTTGGTGTCAGCCTGTAAAGCTTGCTTTCGATTGTGTACCGCCATTTGGTAAGTATTTGCTTGTGTTGAGCTGTGTTTATTGGAATGCTATGGAGGAGGGCAGTGCTCCTGCCACTGCTCCTTTTGTATGATAATATTTAGTTTGTTTTTGTGGAGGCTAAGCAGCGCTTTCGCGCCAGCTGATTTAAGTGTAATGTAAGATGTAAGGCAGATCTTGCTGCCATTCCCTGCGTGCAATAAGCTGTGGTAATTTGTGTTTGTTGGTGAGGGCTGTGTCTTTGCTCCCCAACCCCATCTCTCTCTGGGTTTGAGCCTACTGTTAGTAACAGGGCTTTCACTGGAGTTGACCTGTTGAGTGTTATAACAACCCCGGTTGGTGACAGTAGTGCTCTTGCTCCCCGCTCCCAACATGAGGTAGGTTGTACCTAGTTCCTGCTAGTACCACAGTCTGACAGTCTCTGCTGGGGCTGACTTGGTGGCATCGGCTATTGACAGTAACTTTTACAGGCTTAGGTGGTGCTTTCACCCAAGCTCCCAGTGTACATACAGTATCCTCAACTTGCGTAACCTTGAATTACCACCATGTTGACAACCCATTACTGTGGTACTTGTATGGCCCCTCTTCAGCCAGATGATGGCATCAATTGTTTCCTTTCTTGTATCGGCCTCGAGCACATGGAGGGTCTCTCAGAGCACCCTTGCATGAATTGCCCCAGGCGTCACAGACCACCAGGCTGGCGGAGGTGGAGCAGTCGCTCAGTGAGGAGAGTCTCCCATCCACAGACCAGTTGCCTCCAGCTCAACAGACATAAATGGGTTGAGGTGGCCGCAGCTGCCCCCTCCAGGAAGAGGGCTAAAACTGAGAAGATGGAGCAGCTATCAGTGGAGCTGGCCTTGATGAAGAGTCTTCTCCTGACCCTCCGTCCTTGTGCTCCGCCCTTGTCCTTGACGTTCCCTGAGAAAGATGGTTCGGCCTCTGCCAACCTCTTTCAAGATGATGAGGAGGAGGAGGATGTGTCCCATGTTTCGAAGCCGGGCTCTCGCTCCTGGGACCAGAGCTCCATGGATGACAAAAGTTGTCAAAAGTTGGATGATGAACGTCGTTATTTTTCCCAGCAGCAGCTCAGATACTCGGCTGCTCACATTTCCAACCCCTGGGTGATTTCCACCTTGGCCCACGGGTACAAGATACAATTCCCACGCTGGCCCCCAGCTTCCAACCAAGTCAGAATGACCATCATCCCGAACCCATCAAAGGTATTAGCCCTGAACCAGGAGCTTGACTTATTTCCTGGTGTAGAAGAACACAGGAGAGTTTCGCCCAGTGCGCTCAACAAGTTGGTGGGTACAACAGATTTGCTTCGAACTGTTCCCCAGGGGAATGGTTGATGTCCATCAACTTGAAGGATGCTTACTTTCATGTCCCCATTGCACCTCAACACAGGCAGTTTTTTCACACAGAACTGAAAGCAACAGCCTTGGAAGGCAAAACTGAAGAACGTTGTTCCCTTGGGTGTATTGTCTCTGCGCCCTCTGCAAAGATGGCTGAACAGCTTCCACTTGGACACTAAGTGGCACAAATACAGGAGGCTCAGAGTGTCACGACAGTAACTCCTTGCTCTGGCCCCATGGAGGGAGAGTCTTATATGGAGAGGGAATCCCCATAGGTCCCATCCCATCTCGTAGAGAAACTGTCACAACAGATGCTAGCCTCTTGGGTTGGGGTTGAGTGTGGCAGAACAGGACAGTACAGGAACAATGGTCTGCACGGGAAGGTGCAAGACATATCAATGTGCTACAGCTATGGGCTGTGCACATGGCTCTCAAACACTTCCTGCCATACCTGAAGGGGAAGCATGTACTTGGACAACACCTCGACCGTGTACCACATAAGCCACCAGGGGGGCACCAAATCAGCACGGTTGCTGCGGGCACCCTGGGACCTGCTGACATGGGCGGCCCTGCGGCTGGCCATCTTGCGGGTGATGTATTTACCAGGGCAGAGGAACCAGGCTTCAGACTTCCTCTCCCATCACAAGCCCCCACCGGGGGTGTGGTGACTCCATCCAGAGATGGTGCATGCCATCTTGGGTCTTTTCAAAAGGGCCAAGGTGGATCTTGTTGCCTCAGAGGCATTGACCCACTGCCCCCTCTGGTTCTCCTTGATGAAGACGACCAGTCCTCTGGGTCAGCACATGCTGTTGCATGCCTTGCTGAGGAGTACTACTACTTTATGCCTTTTCACCAGTTCCTCTGATATTGCCCACACTTCATAGAGTGCTCCACAAGAGGGCCACAGACTTCAGCTGGTGGCCCCCTTCTGACCAGGCAGGACATGGTTCCCTCTGCTGCGCAGGCTCTGCCGTGGCTCACCATGGCTCATCGTGGCACCTCCCCAACAGGATGGATCTCCTATCCCAGTTCGGGGGTCAGGTTTCGTATCCCAATCCTTGGCGCCTCCAACTGTGTGTTTGGCCCTTGGAGGGGCCTGAGCTGCAACTGAATACTGTTTCAGGGCGAGGACCCAGTGCATTGAGTTTCTGCAGTCCCTCCTAGATGAGGGTCCTTCTTCTTCTACATAGAGGGTATATGTAGCTGCTATTTCTATTGAGGGTATATGTAGCTGCTATGTTGGCACGCTTGGGTAGACAATGAATACAGTGGGGAACTACAGTCTGGTGTCCCTTTACTTAAGTGGGGCTCAGAGGGTGTGTCCCCCAAGTGCTCCAAGAGCACCAGTCTGGGACCTGCTCCTGGTGTTGGATGCTCGCCTCCTTTTAGCCCTTGGCACAGGCTGAGCTGAAATGGGTGTCTGTTAAGACGGTGTTCCTTCTTGCCATTTCTTCAGTCAAGTGCGTGAATTCCAGGCTCTGTCAGTGAGCGACTCATGTCTGAGGTGGAACCCAGACAATTTGAGTTTCACTTTGTGGCCAAATACAGCATTTCTCCCTAAGGTGCTGTCACGCTTACACCTCAACCAGCCTATTCAGCCATTTCACCTCAACCCCCCCCCCCACTTCTATGACATCTCCCCCCCAAGGGGAGATGTCATAGAAGGTTGCTATGCCCAGTAAGGGCCCTTAGAGCCTATGTTGACGCTACTGTGAGTGTACGGCAGTCCGAGCAGCTCTTTGTTTGTTATCATGGCCCCACACGAGATTGCGCTCTTTCTAAGCAGTGTCTGTCCCATTGGATTTTATATGTGATTGTTCATGCATATAGGGTGAATAATCGCCCTATGCTGTCAGGAGTCAAGTGTCAGTCTACCAGGAGTGTCTCCACGTCATGGGCAACCCTGAGGGGAGTGTCCATAGTGCCCATATGTGCTGCGGCCTTGTGGGCTTCACTGAGCACATTCTCTAGGTTCTACAAATGTCGCCACCCCACATCTTCTGGGTGTGGTACTTCTGCCAAGTTCCTCTAAGTCTACGCTGTAAGGTATGTACTTGGGACTCCTCGTGACATTGTTGGTATTAGTCATCCAGTGCTTAAAGCACTGTGTCTGGCGGTCAGGAAGGATGAACTAGAACGAAAGTTACGAATGTAACTATGGTTCTATGAATCCTGGATGACCCCCAGAGCGTTCAGTCACTCAAAAATCCTGATTCCCTGATGACACCAGAATCCGGGTCATCTGGGGTCACAGGTGACATTGTTGATATTAAATACTTGACTTGCGCAAATGCGAGACAGAAGATCCAGTGCTTTAAGCACCATCTCTGGCGGTCATCAAGGATTCATAGAACTGTAGTTACCTTCGTAACTTTTGTTTTATGCTGTATTCTACTGTCAACAAATCCTTTGGTAAAATCAAATCCAACAACGTCTCTCAGTACTTCCCTACCCTGTCTGTGGCTCTGAGCCCTAAGCCTATTGCTACCTACTGTAGATGTCACTTTTTGAAAACAGCTCACAAATATATACACTGTTGCCCATAAAGTTGGAATAATTTTGTTTTCAGACACAATCCTCTGTTTATTCCTATTTAAATGCATCAGTAATCACTTTTGACCAGGTGCAATGATTACATTATGTGTCCCAATTACCCAGGTGAAATGAAATAAATCACATTGTCACAATCATTTCATGGAAAGAGGTAAAAAATATTTTATTCCAACTTTATGAGCAACAGTGTAGTTTCATTTCTCCAAAAAAGATCCACAATCTCCTCCAACAGCTGGCCAATGGAGAACTGCATTTATTGAGAACTATTTTCAGTAACAGATTAATCTACATTTGTCCTCTAGTGATTATTTGGTGTAGCAGAACAGATGATTGATTTGAATGATTTGCCAACATACTGTTAAATGCCCTGTTAAAGCTGCACCAAGGGGAGAAACGCTGCCTTAAGGACAAACTCTGGCAACAAATAACAAATATGAAGCAATTTTATATAATAATTTGACAGAGAGAAACAATGAAAGATAATGTGAGATAAAAATATTATAAAGAGGAAGAATATTTTGATGTACTGTATGTACTTAAACTATCAAAAGTAAAAATAGGCAATTCATAATTCAGACCCCTGTGCCCCCTGTGACTGACATACTATTATAGGCTATACTACACTATTGAATTATTATTACTGATACATTCATGTATAAGCAATATTTCACTGTTGTAATTGGTCAAGCTGGAGTTAGTTTGAACTATTTAATATAGTGCTGGACAGTGTCATCTATCACATTTTATCAGCTCATCATTTGTTTTGCATGTTAAACTTCAATCTGTGAAAGAAATAGCAACTAAAGCTGTCAAAAAATATAGTGGAATAAAAAATCTAATATTTGCCTCTGGATTGCTGTAGAGGTATAAAGTTGGCCAAATTGGAAACTCTAGATTAAAGTACAATTGCCTTTGATTTATACTTGGGTAAATGTACATTCTTTGATTCCACATTACACTGCATTTCTTTAAAATTAAACAAGTTATCTAGTGAACAGGGGCCAGGGAAAGTGGGGTGTCAGGTGGTTACGTCCAATGAAGCTACAGAACCCACCTACCCAGGCATTAAACCACTGCTCAGGATGACCTGTGTTATATACCAACATCCATATGTATATATGTTATATGTGTAAAAAATAAAAAGCCTAGCTTAAGGTCCACAATCTTGTGTTCTCCAGAGCTTTTATCCAATCTCATGGCCCTCATTATTTAGCAAACTAAGCAAACTTCATCCATTGATGATGACAGTTAGATGAGGATAAAATGACTGATTGCATCAGAAAGAGATTATGTGTCGAATTGATGAATATGTTATATATATGAATATCTTATTTTGCTGTGACACTGAATAAAGAAGCATTCTGCAAATACAGAAAAACTGCAAGACATAACATAACATATTTACAACACAAAGAACTTTCCAGGTCACACTCTAAAAGTCTGACGAACATAATTGTAATTACCAAAATGTTAATGTTAAGAGTATGACATGAATCTGTTACACTGCTAGCTCATTTTCCATCACTATCGATTCCACAATTTTTATTCTCCCCTGAGCAATTCCTCTTAATTTGCTTCTACTTTATTCATTTGCAGAATTTGCAGAAGTGGTGGCAAAGTGCTGTCAAAGTGGTGATTTTCTTTTTCATTTTTCTCTATTTGCATGACTTTTGTAAAACTGCAATGCACTGAATTCTCCTGGCCACTGTGTATGTCACTGAGCTAAGTAAATATTCTTTACGCCCTGGTCAGCGGGTTAGAGTATACTAGCTCAATTTTGGAGCCAATGAAGCTGACATTGAGTGAGGGCAGAGTTCACCCTAGACAGGTCGCCAGTCTATCACAGGGCTGACATACAAAGACTAATAGGTGTGAATGCGCACATTCGTGTCATGGGAGGAAGCCAGTAACCCGGAGAGAACCCACGCAGGCACAGGGAGAACATGCAAACTCTACACAGAAATGGCCCCACGCCCAGGGTTCGAACCCAGAACCTTTTCACTGTGTTGACAGTGCACTGCACAACCGTGCCGCCCAAACATGAGCTATTGTTCAGTTAATGATGTGACACATATCTCTGTACCGCATGTCAATACCATGGTCCTTTACACATAATTCAATAATTGTGATGTGTGATATGGAGTACATAAAATTTTTGGATGTGAGTGTAAACCAAGAAGTATGACTAGAAGCCCAAAGTGACACTATTTTGTAAAAGTATAAAAAAAGTAAAAAGCAGCCCAGAGTAAAACAGCCCAAAAATCATTCGAATAACATTTAGAATAAGGCTGATACTGTCTCATGCCAACATTTCTGTGTGAAGCAGTGATATATTCAAGGTCAGAGCCATAGTCAAAGCAGCTCGCGAGCATTTTAATATTACGTGTATTAATTGCTATTGAGTTTTGGCTGAAGCATGACTTTAGGAATCTGGGGTTTCGAACCCCTGACCTTGGTATCCTAAGAGAAGGTGACTTACTGGTTGTGCCACTGGGTAACCATGTGCTGTACACGCCTTCACACAAGTTGAGGCAATAACATTACGTGCAAAACAGGGGTATTTTTGTCTGTTTCACTCAAAATGTCAAAATGTATGTGTGAAAGTCCTGAAAAAAATCACAAATCATTCTACTGGTTTCAGGAGAATCATCAAATATTTTTGTGACTTTGAATCCAACACTGAGCAAAAAAGAAAATGTTGTGCATAGAGTAAAAACTATAGCAAGATAATTAATATCACTGAGGACTCATTGTTTGTCAGTTCCACACACTGTTTGAAACACTTATATCTACCATTTACAGAATCTCTGTTTGAGTTTTGATGGCATTTGAATGAAGACTTGTGGAGATATACAAGTTAATTGATTTTACATATTTTTAAAAATATAGAGTGACAGACTTCTGAATTGACCATAGGTTATAGTGAAGCAAACTTTCGTCATCATTCATGTGTGCTGAAAAAAATCTCTAAGGTCCGCAGATGTATGAGTTTGGTTACAACAGCATTAGCCAATTTTTATTTATGAGTATTTGTATAAAACTGATCTTAACAACACGAGTTTAAAAAGTCATAATTTCAAAATGGATTGACAAAAATTTTTATAATAACTTTTCATCAGCATTGTCTGTAGATGATGTAGACCAAATTTCATAAGAATTAGATGCCTCAGATTAGTTCATTTTGGGTTTATGTTCCATTTTTTGAAAATGTCAAATCATTTTTAGAACAGAAGACCATTAGAGCAAAAATGCAGATGATTTCAGAGATCAAAATGGTGAAAGAATTTTTAATTATCATCCAAACCGTTTTGGGAAAATAGCACAAACTTGTACTTCATTATTATAGCGCCATCTATCAGACAATTGGTGTCATTTTTTGTACGTAAGTAATGGGTGCAATTTGCAACCAATCTATTAATTTTCATGAGTTTTTGTCCAGTAGTTTTCTGCACAAACACTGACAGAATAATAACAGAATAATAATTTGATAATAATAATAATAATTAGAGAACAAAACCAATAGGGTTCCTAGCAGCAAATGCTCTCAAAAAACTTAACAATAGGATAGAACACAAATGTACGCCAAAGAAAGACAAAGATTTCTGGTAATTGTGAACTTACAGGCAGTCCAAGATGGCCTCTGTCTCCCTTTTCGCCCTTCTGACCTGTTGCTCCCTTTTCTCCTCTGATGCCTATGCCTGGCTCTCCCTGAGAGACAGGGTGAGATAGAATCCCAACGTTACACTTTAATGCATTGAATTGCTTTGATGCAGACAACATATGACTGGATGAAGATTTAATAAAACAAAGGGCTGGTAGATCTTGTTTTATAGAAATAATGTCTCACCTTAGGCCCTGAAGGTCCTTGAGATCCCTGGATGAAACAGAAACAGTGAAATTACTGAGACAATCTATACTGTTTTCCAGTTGTTGCCACTGCATACCACTGGTGAAGCTGAGTAATGTCAGGAAATAAAAAATACAAATACAAATTTGGCATCTGAATGCCACCTCGATAGTGAGACTAGTGTTATTTGAACTGAGGCCTAATCCGTTAAATTAACTGAAAATAGCTTTGTGAGTGTGGAGGCCTTTAAGCATATTTGACTCACTGCTGGGCCAACTGGTCCTGGAGGTCCTGGGGGCCCTGGAGGACCATAGATCTAAATACAGACGCACACAAACACAAGCAACAGGTTTCAAATCAGAAAATATTGCTCAAACATGCTTTTCTGCAATGCGCTAATCAGACCTGTGGGTAAATGACTAACACTTACTCTTTCTGACCTAGCTCCTTCTCCAGATTCGCCTTTAGGACCCTGTCATAACAAGACACAGCAGGACACAAAGTTCTTCAGACAAACTATTAAGTGAATAAAAATTAAGCAATACAACAGTTTTTCACACAGAACTTAAAGTGAATACAAGATGTATTCTACTTTTCCTCCTTCGTCAGGGTTAGGGCCTGAAGGGGCAACAATGCGTACCATTGCGCCAGGTAAAAAGAGGGGGGCTAGGGGGCTAGGGTGCTCTAAACCCTAGAACAAATGAGGTGAGCATTTCAATTCAGGGACTGATGATTAAAATCAAAGCATAAAATAGAAATTTGAATGTTTTGTTTAAATCCTGTCTTAGTCTTCATCATCATACCAATCAGTATCTGGGCAGTATACCTGTTGTTTTGTATTTGAAATGAATAATTGTTCTGTTTTTTGTTTTTTTTTGCTTCTGTGTCAGCCACTACTAAACACCAACTAAACACTCCAATGTATTATATTTTAATGGTGTTGAAGCAGAGCATTTTAATTTTACCTAAATCATATGATTTGAAAAACGTTCTTCAAAAATCAATTGCTTGCTCAGTTTTCATACTCTGCTCTGAACTGTTTCCATAGCCCCATCCCATATGGTCCCATCAAATACTTGCATAGCACCTATTTTGCCTATTTTGTGTTTTGTGGATAGCTAACATCTGTATTAATTAGCTGCTAGTTCTGGGGCAAATTCTGGGGCTGGTTCTTATGTTGTGGGACATTACATGTTTTCTGGTTTCCACATGTAGAGAACAGCATCCAGGCACCAAACTTTACCCAGCCCCTTCCTTTCACAGCAATTAATCATTTAATTGGTTGCAAAGCAATTTCAGTAGTTCTTCCATCATTGACATTCCTACAAAAGAGCAAGTAATAAGTGTCTATAAAACTTGCTAATATATTGATAAAGCCTGATTTAGGGACTGTGCAATCCAAGTCCATGATGGGACAAGGACATTTCTGACATTAAAAAACTGAGCATCCAGCTGAATAGTCATGAGCATTAAAATTATGTAACTGCTGTGTGAAGGCATACAGTATATTATGATCCACTGCGTTTGCTGAAAACAATCACACTATCGAGATCCCTAGTCTCTATTACTTTATCTTATATATGTTTGTTGACATGCTACTACTCCTATATGCTTGCAGCTGGAGACATGGTTTGAAAGAAAAATTGTTAAGCATGTTTCAGTGCTTTGAGTTGACAGCTGATTTTATATGATTTTTTTTTTAATTATTGTATTTTGAATGGTTTTCTATGGGGAATGAGTGAAACATGTTGAAACACGATTAATCTTCACGAATATCTCAAAAACTATAAAGGCTACAAGCCTGAAGCTTCCCCATTTTTCAGTGCTTCACTTACATGAAAATGGTAGTGATAGCATCACCATGTGGTGAGGAATGACCTGACAAGGTGTAGAAGCTGTAGCTGACAAGCTGTAGAAGTGGAATCCATAGGGATTCAGTGGATGATGCTGAAGTGATCAATCTCAGCTATGCCCATTTGCTTTTTTTGCATTTTGAAGTTTTTGCTAGACATACTTTTGATCTTCATCCAAACTCCACCAATCATATATCATTTTTCCATTATTGCCTAACAAAGTTTTGTGGCAAATTTTTTTTTATCTGCTTTAACTCTTGAATGTTTTATCCAATTGCAACCAAATCTGGATCACTTGTACAGACTGACACCCTGAATAAGACTACTGAGTTTCATGCAGTTTTGCTGATAGTGGGCACAACAGCAAAAATCAATGATTGCTTAATAGAAATTAATACTACTCCCAGATAGCGATTCATAATAAAAGATAAAAGTCTCAATCGGGTAAGAGGAGCTTAGGCTGTGTGGCAGAAAGCTTGGGCAGTTTTCATCGCCACACACACACACACACACACACACACACACACACACACACAGTAATATCACCAGCAATTCTTCAGGTACTCCTGGCTGGATGCTACCATCACATCTGTTGTTGGGCTACCTTGCAGTGCTCCCTCACATCCATTTGCACAAATGCTTCTTTTTATGAAGCACATGGAGCAGGTATAATACAAAGGCATTCACTTATTGATTGCTTTGCATTTTTTCATTTAAAATACAAAAACAAGAAAAAGAAATTGATCAAATATATATATGTATGTATAATATATATATGTATATATATATATGTAAATATATATGTATATACGTATATGTATACGTATGTATATAAAGTTTTATGGAAATGCTGTAGTCAGGGACTCAATGTTGCCTGTCCTGTGTCAAAAAAGTAAATAAAAATAAATAAATAACTAAGCACAGCAAACTAAGTGTCTCCCTTTGCTAACTGTCAAACATACACATATATAAAACTAACAGCTCTCACTGTAACACCAGGCTACAAATAGCATCACCACATGTGGGGGCATATAAATTCAGTGTCATTCCTGGGGTCTCTTCTAAGCTTGGGAGTCTTTAATTATATAATAAGAGGACAGATGCAAAAAAACAAGGCCTTTCCCATAGGTAATTACAGATGTGGGCATCTGGCTTTAGTCAGGAAACCCTAGGCAATGATGTCATGTGGTTAATGTAGTCACTTACAGGTGATCCAGCTGGACCCATGTCCCCCTTGGGTCCTGGGAAGCCTTCGACACCGTCCTCCCCTCTGGGACCTGCAGGACCAGGCTCTCCAGGCTTTCCTCTGGGCCCCTAAAACACGAGGTCAAAGTTACCTTGTTTAATTTAACCTGAATAAGAGGAAGATATGTTGAGACAGATTCTTTTACATAAAAGAGATTCATCATCACTCACACACATTTTGTCACCACAATGAATAGATTCTATCACAATATACAGTACATTCATGTAACAATGCAACTGCCTGGAAAATTATATGGATTACTGATGTAGTATTGTAGTATTACCTTCTCACCGTCCAGTCCTGGTGGACCTGGTAGTCCAACTTCACCCTGAAGACACACCAAGGCTGGATTACCAACTAGGCAAAGGAGGCAACTGCCCCATGACAGACCCACAGGGGCCCCTGATAAGCTGTATGTTAGTTGGCTTCTGGTAACTTGATCAAGTGCAGATTTGTTAACTGTACCGTGTTGCTTCAGGTACTGATGAGACATGACTTACAAGGAAGTCCACTTTAAGAAACAAATTCATGAACATTATAGTTTAGTTTTATATTACTATTATTAGTTTAAACTGATCAGCCATAACGTTATGACCACCCGTCTAATATTGTGTAGGTCCCCCTTTTGCTGCCAAAACAGCTCTGACTCGCGAGGCATGGACTTCACAAGACCTCTGAAGGTGTGCTGTGGTATCTTGCACCAAGACCTTAGCAGCAGATACATAAGTCCTGTAAGCTGTGAGGTGGCGCCTTGTTGGTCCAGCATATCCCACAGATACTCGATTGGATTGATATCTGGGGAATTTAAAGGCCAGGTCAACATCTTGAACTCGTTGTTGTGTTCCTCAAACCATTCTTGAAACATTGTCCAGTGTGCAACTGCAACTGCCATTAGGGAATACCGTTTCCATGAAGGAGTGGACTTGGTCTGCAACAATGTTTAGGTGGTACGTGTCAAAGTAACATCCACATGAATGGCAGGACCCAGTGTTTCCCAGCAGAACATGGCCAAAAGCATCACACTGCCTCCGCCAGCTTGCCTTCTTCCCATAGTGCATCCTGGTGCCATCTCTTCCTAGATAAGCAACGCACACGCAGCCAACACATCAACTTCGAGGAGTAAATGTTCACTTGCTGTCTAATATATCCCATCCACTGAAAGGTACCATTGTAACTAGATACTTAATGTTAATCACTTCACCTGTCATTGTTCATAATGTTATGGCTGATTGATGTATATTACTGATAAAGTACTGACTGAAAGTAATCACAGCAGCAATTTATTTTATCATTTGTTGCAGCAACTGTGAGGTAAACGGTAGACAAATTCAAATTATTAAGTAATCAGGAATGTATGCTTGTATGTATTGTTGTTGTTGTATATTTTAATATAGCCTTGTTTTGGCAATCACAATGATGATATAATAAATGATATAATGATAATGAATGAGAGGACTTTGTACAATATGGACCAAGGCAGGCAACATTATTGCCTAATTCTTTGGCCATGTCTTGTATTTTTATGTAGTCATATAACCTCAACCAAATGATGTGAAAAGCCTCATACAGTACAAAACAATCTACATGTTTATTTTCTGAATGTGGAAATTGTGGCTCATCTTTGAAATACTGTCATTCTAAAATGACTACCTTCGCACCAGTGAGGCCAGGGGGCCCTGGAGGTCCAGGTAATCCAGGGGGACCCTGTAGGGGGAAGAGATCACATGATTAAATAGAATTTTGAGTACTGTGTTTGTGATAAACCCTAGAAAGTACTTACCATCAGGGGTATGTTGTGAATATCCTGTGGAGGAATATACTTAATGTCATTCTTTAGTTTCTCTACATCTGAGAAAAGTGCAACTAATTTAGAGTAACATACATTTTCATTATTGTGGATTTCAGCCTTTCCCGGCTCCCCAGTTGGGCCCTGAGGACCCTATATGATGAAAATGAAAATCATTAACATAATGAAATTAGACATTTTGTGTATATGTGTATATTTTGTCAATATATAAGTTGTCATGAGTCTGGCGGCCATGACTTACTCTTGTTCCGGCTGGGCCTTCGGGACCTACTTCCCCCTAGAGGTTAAATTGAGGTATAACATTTAGATTCTCCATAAATATTCTGTCTATTTATTTGTGAGGGTTGCGCAATTAACTTGGTGGAGGGATGTGGCATGTACCAGAACCTGTTTTATTTTGTGGCAGATCTGGATCATGTACTATGAATTTGAATTATTCTCTCTGCAGTCTGGTGTATGTTGTTTGACATTGGCCTTGGTGTTTTCTGTGTGCCTTAGTTGGTCTGTTTGTGTAATTGTCAGCAGTATTACACAGAAAGTACTGAACTGATTTGTACCACACTTGGTGGAGAGATGGGCATTGGCTAGGGAAGAACTCATATATCCTGGTGCAGATCCGGTTAAACGGGCAGATCATCATGTTTACTTAGTTTAGAGATAGGGTTTTTTGTTTAACATTTTCAGTTTCTCAGGAAATGATTCATCTAGATGTAAACAGATCAGATCAATATATATTGAAATGACATCTATGAGTTCGTACATTTTGGTGCACATCCAGAAAATAATCCCGATGTGGTGGAAGATACTGCGTCCACATTATATGTAGAGTACTTATTTTTGATATTAACAGTGCATATGGCACAAGCAGCATTTAGGAAAGTTTACATAAGTGTTTCACTCAACACACAACTAATAAAATTACACAAAATCAGTAGCAGGGGCAACATAGCAATGAGACAATTCATACAGCTGTATGAATCATATAATGCTGGCATCGTTATTTTACAAAACAACTGGTAAAACCATACAGTGGAAGGATTTAATACAACAAATAAATAAAGCTACACTTGAGAACAACATACAGGACATTGAGTGCCATTCTAGTGTGAGTATTTGAAAAGTAGTCTGAATATTACAACGCTGTGTTTCAATCCCTTCCTAATGCTATGTATCCTACCTTGTCTCCGTGGTCACCTTTTTCACCCTGTAAAAAGAATGTCAAACAGTGACTTACATGAGCAGTGTTTTTTGTTGAAGTGTTAATTAATAATCTATGATGAAGGCATTGGTGTACAAGCAGGTATCTGACCACTAACTAAACTATTAATCTTTACCTTGGGCCCCATTAGGCCTGGCAGTCCCAATGAACCTGGTTCTCCTTTTATTCCTTGGGCAGCAATGCTTGGCTCTCCCTTCTCACCCTGTCATACAAACAGAAGAAGGATTAATTGAATGGAGTACAATTTATTATTAATATTGACCAATTAACCAGACAAGAACAATAACCAATAGGATTTCATAGTATATATATATATATATATATATATATATACTATATCAGACATTTATGAGACACTGCAGACAAAAGAAATCATAAAGCATAAAAATTATTTATAATTCCTGTCTCTGTTCAAAGATGATCTCTGGTGTCAGATGTGAATATCCTCCTTGATTCTTTTCCTGCTGCCCACTGACTCCTTCTCCTGACCTTTGACCTGGTGTATCTGGCTATTTTTACTGTTGATACAGTCTCTTGTCAGTACAGTCATCACGTGGGGTCATGATCTTATATATCAGTGTTATACACCACTTCAGTCTTTCTCGCAGACAGGGACCTATCTTAAGGTGTACCAGAAGAGCTGTTAAGGTGTTGAATGGTTTGTGGTAAGTTCTGACTTGTAAGGGAGATGTTTCTCATGGTCCCTGTTGAGTTAATAGTTTTTGCCCTGGTCTGAAGTCATAGTGGGATTATTAGTACCTGCACCTGCACCTCCCATTATCTACCCTTATCTTCTGATAAGAAGCTTTTCTCTGTGAGGAAGAGGTCTCACTGAGGACAAGTGAAAATATCTTGTCACCTCCATGACAACTGAGCAAAGTGAATCTGAGATGTAGTTCAAAACATTTTATTAAGCTAGTAAGTGGACTTCAGTAAAGATTGTTTTATCAGTACAGCATTTCAGTACAATCTGTGAGATCACAGCACATTCAAGATTGGTTTCCAACAATCAATTCTTCTCTGAATGGAATGAATGATTGCATGTGTGATTGATATTAGAAATGAATGACAATGGATATGATAAGGTTTGTACAGTAAAACAAAAGAGTTAGCAAGCCCAATTCTGAATTAAATTAGTCAATAAATGTCTAATTATACCATCTATTATAAAGACCAAAGCACCTCAACAAACACCAAGTGAGACACAGCTCACAGCACAGTTATGTTAAACAAAACAAAGCTTTAACTGGAGTTTTGACAATCACAAACACAAAACAGTGATGTGAGGAATCTCTCCAGTTAGTAGAGGAATAAGGATGACTGACATTAACAGACATGAATGCTCATTCCATTCCAGGCCTACCCTGTAGCCCCTCTTGCCAGGGATGCCAGGGGTACCAGAGATGCCAGCCTGGCCCTTTCCAATGGAAGAAAGACAGTCATGACCCACTGATCTGATTGGGTATATAGTAACTGCCACACACACTGCTCAGAATTAATGTTACCTTTAACCCAGGAGTGCCTGGGAAACCTGGTTCTCCCTACAATGGCCAAGATGCCATAACAGATAAGGAAAAAAAGGAAAACATTATGAATTTTTTTTTTTCAAGATGTTAAAAATTACAAGCAGACACATCAACAGAGCAATCATTCATGCAATTACATGGATGGTTTACTGAACAAGTGAACCTGGAACAGGACAAGACCTTGCACCTAAGCCCACATGAAGTGACAATATTTCTTATGGGAAAGTTGTTGGAAAGTCAATCAAATGACACAAAACAACTACATAACATGTCTCAGTAAGGTTTTTGGTCAGAGCAGCTTCAGTTCTCCTTGGCATTGATTCTCCAAGTGCCTGAACTCTGCTGGAGGATCAACATAGTTCTTCCACAAGATATTCCCTCATGTGGTGTTTTGATGATGGTTGTGGAGAGTGCTGTCAAATGTGTTGCTCCAAAAGGGGCCCATAGTCTCATAATCTGTCCATAGTATAAAGTGAAATATAAAACGTGATTAGCATCTGTCAAGAGCCACCCACAGCATGATGGACCCTCAGAAATTGGTTGTTAAAAATAGAAAGGAAAACACACCCATGTAAGTCATCTGTGTTCTTGCTCCCCTTTCCAGATTAATGAGTAGTTGGCTTAAAGTTGATGTACAGTCACAGCTGTAACCACACAAGTACAGACATAGCTGGTTGGAAGAGAGAGTTCCTACATTCCTGTGCCCCAGTGGAATATGTGTCAACTTTGTGTCCTGATGCTTTCATATAATTTGTCATAGTTGTAGACAGAATACAGTAACAAGTTATGAGTGCAAGTGTTATCTAAGATGTAAAAAGTTTTGTATAGCAATATGCAAAAGAAATAGAGATGATACAAAAATGATTTCAACATGCTGCTTCACATTAGCACATAAAGACAAAAAGAAAGAAAGAAAAAATTATGAATATTTCATGTGTCCCAATTAAGTTCTGTTGACTTACTTTCTTCCATGTCTCAATGGCCTCCAGTGCCAGAGAGTTTAAATCATTTGTTGACTACATACCCCACATGTATCAAATATTTTAGTTTTTGGGTTTCCCTAAATAAGTGTTCTACACCTTTTGGGCAACTAGAGAGCAGGGCAACACTGTTCAAGATAATGATGCTTTAATTGCTGGCACTTAGTTTTGTAATACACAGAAGCCAAGATTTTAGGAGAGGGTGAGATCTCAGTTTGTTTGTTGGGAGCAGAATGCACCAGGCTTGGATAGACTTGTTTAATTACAGAAAGCAAAGTAAACTAGCATATATCAATAATTCAATTCACCATTAATGACTAATAACCCAACTACAACAACAAATAAATTAGTGTTATTGTTGTTATGTAATTTTCCAATGTTCACTGTAGAATCTTTGAACAGCAGGCTATAGTCGTCAAAGGGCATACTAGTTACTAGTATTAGTATACGTTTGTTAATATGCGCATACAGGTACGATTGTTACCACTAGTGGTCACATGACTCACTTCTACATGCTGGAACATTCTTCTCTGAGATGTACATAAACTAATGTTTATGGGTGTCAGAGATTTTCACGTGACTGTGACTTTTCATCTGTCGGTTGGAAGGTGGAGGTGGAGGAAGGTGGAGAATATCTCTGTTTCTGTCACATACACTACTGATCTGTAACACTGGCCTGCCATGTCATGATTTATCAATATACTAATCTTTTTACTGAAGCATGGAACCAGTGTATTTCCACTTCAGAGGAAAAGTACAACGCTCTTATAGGAACTGTAATCATCCTCCAGTGATGCCACAGGATCACTTGTTTTCAATTTGTTTGTTTGTGCTTCTCACTAAACACTGGAATATTATGAACAGACAAAAGAACAGTGTACTGAATCCAGGAAGCCTTAAGGTGCTGTTGAGAATGAAAAACTGATCAAAGTGAAGAAAAGGAAAAATTATCTTTATAGAGAACACTACACAGAGAATCTTATTATTTTTCTCTGTTATAAGTGTTCATGCAGCAAAAAATGCAAGAGCCAAACTCACCAAAATGGGCAGGTAGGTTGCAAATTCCATCAACTATTCAGGCACAAATAATGACACCAATTGCCCACAAGGTAACGCTGTAATAATCAAGTTTTCACAATTTTCTCGAAAATTGATTTTGCTATTGTAATCTCAAATCATCTGCATCTTTTGGTCTTCTGCTCTAAAAATCCCTGCTTTTCAAGCCATTTTCAAAAACTGAATGTTAAATCAAAACAAACTAGTCTGAGGCTGTTCATCTGGTCAGCATCATCTCACACAATGCTGACAAAAAGGAATTTTGATCCATTTTGAAATGGTATAGTTTTAAACCTGTGTAATTCAGATAAGCTTTAGATAAACACTCATAAATTAAAATTGGCTAAATCTATTGTAACCAACACTGTACACCTTCACACAGCTTAGCTATGCAATCTTGTAAGATTCTGTCAGTGTTTTCCAGCCACTTCCGCCTACATCTGTACCTGTAGTTGCCTGCCTGTAGCCTCGACCTGACCTGCCTGTGCTACTTGTGTTTAGACCTGTTGCCAGTTTGTGATCTGCATTTTGGCCTTTGTCTTTTCATACTTTCACACTCCACACCTGTTCAGACTGGTATTTACTGCCAACCATCGCCCATTTCACTGACCATTCAATAAGGTTCCTGCTGTAAATAAACTGTGACATTGAATTGCATTACTACCAGAGAGTGCTTCTAGAGGAAAGCTCTGCGGATGTCCCAAAAGGAAATAGTTCAAGGAATCATCCTTAGGGGAACATGAATATAATATTTTGACAAAACATTGGTCCATTCAATGAAAGCAATCACTTTTGTTTTCAATTTGCTCATAGAGAGCCAAAAACAGGAAATGTTGCATACAGATGTATGCTGGGTAGCTCATTGCTTCTCATTTGCAGTGAAAGGAAAACAGCTGAGATACCTTTTAATTCAGTCAAGGAAGTGAAACTGTTGGCTTACATTCTCCTCTGTCTCTGTTGTTGTCTGTTACTCCTCTCAGTTCTCAGAGGGAAGCAGAATTAAAGCTGTTTTCAAAGACAGAGCTTATTAGATCAGTCTAAAGAGAAGTAGTGGAGTACGCTGCCTGCTGGGAGCTTTGGAACTGAAGCGGTTGAGTCTTGAAAAGTCATTATTTATGGTCTGCACCATGCAGATATCAATGGTCATTGTGTAAACCACAAAATTCTACCTGGCCCACTTTATTTCACTCACAAGGCACTGGCAGCTGGCTCTCTGAGATTATATATAGAACAGATTTCCCCTGGGAGGATGGAAGCCCATAGCCTAACATTGAAGAAGCAGCCTGCAAAAGCACTTTCTCTTTACTATTAACAATAAAGGCCTTTTCCAGATCGCCATTTCCTGTGGATACCAACAAGTATGCACTTTCCTTGAAGTTTTTTCCGCTTTTGACTTTTTCTTCCTCTTTCCCCCATCTGTGAGGCTTAATGGAGAAAACACACATCCGTGTGGCTGCGACTGCTACTGCCATGATACCATGACCAAGGAGAGCTGCTGTAGGTGTAGGTCACCTTGGTGTCTTGAGGTACTGGAGTCCACCAGAGAATTAATAGAGAACCGAGTAGATGACATTAACCAAAAAGTCAACTACAAGAAAAGATCCTCAGCACAAATGCTTAGTATTCATTCTTGCTGGGTAATGCTCACACAGAACAATACTGAACTCTAAGACTCTGTTAATACCCATGTTGATTAAATTTTCATTACAGTATAATTTTATGTGCCCACAGATGGATTTAAATTCATGAATGTTTTCAGGTTGTTTGTGTTCAAAAAAAGACATCAGCTTTTCAGTTCAAACTTCTGAAGTGCTTTTCCACTAAGAGATAAATCTAAACCGAGTTTCATGAATCCAGACTCAAGAGGAGACATCTGTGATCTCACAATGCATAAATAAATCTTGACATGCTGCACACACAACTCCATGCTTGCCTGTCACTCTACCTTCTCTCCCCTCTTTCCTGGGAAACCCCACTTTCCTTCATCTCCCTACAGAGTGTATGAAAAAAGCAGCTCAGATGAGCAGCAGGGTCGTAAAAGCAGACACACTCTTTCAACCAGGGGAAAATCAAAGATGAGCAAAGGCTCAGTGGGAGAAGCAGTGCTCCTTCGTGACATGGAGCCTGACTGGGGTAGATATATGTTTTTAGAGCTGACATCAGAGGCCTTCTATGAGGTTGGTCCCTAATCCAAAGCAGCAAGTGGTTGCCTTAGAAAAAATATTAAAGTAGAGAGGTGGTTACTGTGTGAATGGTGAATGTACTGTGAAACACTGATTAACATTAAGATCTATGGTTAATTCTAGTTTATCATTTTTTCAGTGAAAGGCTACTCATATAGAATTAGGGTTAACTCTTTACTGAATGAAGTTGGTCTTCACAATAAACTATAAAGCAAAACTTCCAAACCTAGATCATGATTTAGTTAGCAAGAGGATTCTTTGTTAGCAAAGAGGGTAGTTGAGATTTACTGACAGACAAGGTAACACACAAGCAATGCCCCTTACTCTCATATTCTCTTTTGGCACCCACAAGTCTAAAAAGAAGGTACAGCTAAAACAAAACCAGGGCTATAGCTTTTACTGATGACACTGAGGCCCCTAAAGTGATGTTTACTTTTTATAACCAATAGATAAACATGTTGACTTAAAATTTGACAAAACAATTCCAACTCAAGGCCAACTAAGCATTTCTGACACTTTAGAACAGAGTATTCAAGAGGTCACAGTATGGTATGGTCTAAGGTTACAGAGAACGCTAGTAGGTAAAACTGAGATGTAAATTCATCTGTGAAACTACCATTTTCATCAACATTATTTAAATCTGACTTTTTTGGAGGGACTAGCGCACAACTAAAAATTGGCACAACACACAATATTGCTGCTGTCCAAACATTGCTGTACTTTCAAAATTACTGTAGATAATTTTCTGAACACATACAGGATCAATATCAATATATCAGTATCAATCCTGTATTTTATCTGAAAGTTTAAAAATTATCATACTTCTCAAGTGGAATATATTATTTGAATCAGATTAGATTGGATAATCTGGAATAATTACAAAAATGAAAACTCACAAGGCATATATATACATATATGTGTATACAATAGACTAGTGTGATCAAAAACCCTTATGCTGTGGTCAGGTTTAGATTTAGGTCTTGGACTCAGGACCTCAGCATTTCTAAAGTCTTGTCCCTAATATTGTGTTACACAAAAGAAAATTGAAAAACTAAAAAATCTTACCTTCATTCCTTGGTCACCTTTAACTCCCTGTGAAGCAAAGCAGAGAGAAATATTTTAATTATGAAAACTGATAACAATCAGAGCAGTCCACTAGATGGAGCACAAGATCCTCTATAAGCATTAGAATAACTGTGTCCAAAGTAGGGCTAGATAAAATAATACATTTTCTAATTCATTTGAATGATCCATTATCAATTCTTAAAATCCCAAGATTGATCTTTGTAGTTGTGGTTAGGGTTGCATGGTTTTCATTTATTACAAAATACACAACAAGGTTAGTTTAAATTAAAAATAAAATAGATAATAGGAGCTACCTTGAGCCACACTGAGTCACAACAATCCTGTCAACTGTGACATGAATAATTACATAATAAATAATTTATATGTCTGTGGACCCACCACAGTTTTCAGGACTGTTATGACGCTGGCTAAGAGTAAATAAAGACATGATAGACTGAAAAAAAAGATTTTGCAAACTAACCTGAGGTCTGGCTTTGTGTCTGTTGACGAGATATAACCTCTGAGATGTGAGGCTGTGGAAACTGACTTAACATTGTGTGCATTCTACATTATTCAGTTTGTTCCTGACAGGGAGCTAACGTTAGGTAGCCAGCTGTATGCAGATATCAGGCTGATGTCAACACAAACAAAGCAGAGATTAGTGAGCAGACTTTCAGTTCATGACCTGACTGTGCTGAAAGTGCATGAGCTGCACATGGTTGAAGCATCTGCTGCTGACGATCCATGTATAGATGGACTATGTAGTTTTTAAAATATGCATAATGATGACATCTGTCATCAGTGGTGCAGGTTTTTTTTTTTTTTAATTATTCTTACTAAACTGTTTTGCACGTGTAGAAAAAAATATGGATGGATCATATTTTAGTTGGAAAATAAATCCTGGGTCCACACTTTTATAACTAGGGGATATGTTTAAAATTTAGCCTATAATATGCACTTGAAGATTAATTCTGAGAAATGCCTCACACAACATGGTATCTGATGAAACTGAATCATAAAGAATTGAACTAAATTGAACTGAATCAAATGAAAATAATTGATTAAGGACTTCGCAAATCAAATTGAAATAGGAAATCGGTGTAGTGTGAAGCCACTTAGAGTGGATGAGAAAGGAGCAGTTCACATTTTATCTAAGACGTTATCTATCAATGTTGTAGAACCTCAGGAAAAAAGCTGCATAAACAGTCCCTGTGCAAACCGTTTTTCTGTCCTCTTAGTGACCTTCAAATCATGTGCTCATAGCAGAAAACAGAAACAGGATTCTGGGTTGATTTCAAAGAAAGCAAGGAAGGAAGAATGGTTTAAATATAATTAATATATAATTATAATATAGTGTTTTTTCTTTCTATATATATATATATATATATATATATATATTATAATTAGTTAATAATCTGAAGCTGAATCAGAAGCTTACAACTATAAGGTTTTCAGCAGTCTGAGCCCCAGAAAAGCTGCTGTGTAAAATTCAGAGGGGCACTGCTCAGTGTGACCTTTACAGTTCATTCAATCTGAGTTTATGTTTCCTGCTTCAGATGAAATTACTTTCAAAAAGAGTCACATTATTGATGTACTCTGTGGCAGCTGAGCTGTTTGACGATACACATATGATTAAAGTTTGGAATTTAGTGTACAGTTATATTCTTATATTCCATTATTGACTTATAAATTGCATTTTTACAATAAATGAATTACTTGGTCTTTAACGCAACATGTAAAATGTCTGCTAACATGTTAACAATAGCAGCTTCATAAGGTGATAATATGTCAGATTATCATTTTTGCCCTAAACCATTCAACTAAAATGGAGGAATCATTCATGTTCCTTCCTTTCTTGAATAACTTCACACCTACTCAAGTGAAATTTGAGCTGAGTAAGAGTTCCTTCAACATGAGTGAGAGACTTTCCAACCTTTCACCTTCAGCCTGCCACAGATAGTATGTTGAATGAAATATTTGAAAGATTCTAAGTTAATCTTTACTAGTACTTTCTTTTTCTTTCTTTCTTTCTTTCTTTCTTTCTTTCTTTCTTTCTTTCTTTCTTTCTTTCTTTCTTTCTTTCTTTCCTTCTGTCATATCTAAAGCCAAAAACTCTGATCTCTTGTAATGCCATTTAATGGCTTGGATTAGTGTAGAACATTTGCTGTATGTGTGTATGTCTCTGTGTGTGTTCTCTAGAGGAAGTCAGTTAAGCCATGGAAAAGTACGTGGACCAGCACATGGAGACCGTAGTGGGTACAACTCACTTTGACCCCCACACAACCTCAAAGCCAAGGTTAGATCTCTCAAACTGCCAACCACACAATGTGTGTGCATTTTGTGTCAATGTGTGCGTGTGTGTATGCATGCTGTGTTTGTCCCTGTCTATTCAATACTAAGGAGAATATTATGCAATAATCTAGGAAACACTTTCCATTAAATAAATGTCCAAACCTTAAATGTAGCAACAGATGCTGCTTGCATCATTCTGTGAGGTCAGGGCCTCAGTATTTTTATGATATCAGCTCTAGAGAGCCCTCAAAGCTTCAGTTAATACATCTCTACCATTTAATGTATATAAACAGAAGTGTGGTACTTGCTGGCCAAATGATGCAACTAAGATGGGGGACAAAATTCATGGTCCTCATGCAAAAATTTATTTTATAATTAAACTAATATGGAACTTGAATTACCCTATTTGTGTTTCCACAGACAGTGTTTCCTTGTTGAGTTTGGAAGTAGGTTTGTTTCCAGGACCAAACACCGACCTACACACAACGACTAAGATGAAAATGCCCACTCTGTTTGACTATAGCTAAAATTAAACTTCTGTATGTGTCGTTAAATAAATGTTTGGCTGAATAAATTTGTGTATGGAATATGGACTGTGGATTTTGTTTGCTATTTCTTAATCAGGAAAAGGTTTACTTCACAGCCAGTAATGGGAAGAGGAATAAAAGCAAAAACCCTCAACCCATGTAAATGTGGCATTCACATATGGTATGTGAACGCCACATATTTTAAGACAGCTAAGTGTCCTATGGAGTTTAATTTCAAACTTTTTTCCTGAACCTTTAAGTGAAAACGAAACGCCACAGTCAAACATGAAAAGGTTAGGCTATAAAACATGCTCAAAGTTAAACACCTTTGGGCCATCAGGACCTGGTGGGCCTACATCGCCTTGATCACCCTATAGAGACACAAAGATATAAATATTATGTAATATATATGATATATTATATAAAACTTTACACAGATTCTCAAAAAATTGACAAACAGCAAATTGCTGGCCAATGGGCACAGCAATGGCAAAGTGGCACCTGATTTATTAAAACCGTCTTTTCCTGCTTTCCCAGCTGACCGGACCATTTTCTGCATTCTCCTACTCTGGTTCTCCACATTTCTTGCCCATATTCATTGTCACTATCGAATAAAGGAATAAAAATTTCCAAAAGTAAAAAGAATGAAAAAAAAAAAAAATCTTCTCAGTAGCTCTAAAGTCCTACTATGATCTGTCACATGTCACTCACCAGCACTCACCAGCACTTTAACAGGAACACCATACCCAAAACTGGGTATTAACCTCCGCCTCAGTTTTTTGTGTCATAGATTTCACAAAATGTTGGAAAAATTCCTTTGAGATTGTGCTCCATGAACATTTCTGCAGATTTGTCAGCTGCACATTCATGTTGCCAATCTCCTTGCTCAACTCTGACCCTACCATCAGCACAAAACCAGATCCATCAGACCAGGTCTTTAACAAGTGGTGGTGAGTGTGTCCACTGCAGCCTCAAGTTTCTGGTCTTTTTGACAAGAAGTATAACCTCACGTTTTCCTTCTGCTGTTGTAGTCCATCTACTTTAAGGTTGGACGTGTTGTTCACTCTGAAGCTTTTGTGCTCAGCACAAAAGAGTGGTTATCTGAGTGACTGTAGCCTTTCTGTCAACTCCAACCAGTCTGTCCATTCTCCTCTGACCTCTCTCATCAACACAGAGCTGCTGCTTACTGGATGCTTTTGTTATGACTGTTGTGAGTGAAAATCCAGGAGATCAGCAGTTTGAGAAACACTCAAACCAACAATGATATTATACTGAATCACTATTATCTCAATAACTAAAGCTCCTTACCTGGATCTGCAAGATTTTATACACTTCACTGCTGCCACATGATTGGCTGATTGAATCGCTGAATAAGCAGGTGTTCATTAAGGAGTGCTCAGTGAGTGTATGTTTTTCAACAAGAAGTAAATCTACCTCCTTCTGTTTCTGCATTAATCCCTGCACATATTTGAAGCACATCATAAATAAAAGTCAACTATTACCTGGGGAAATTTATTGATTTCTGTTCACAATGTAAAATATTATCAGGTATTTTCTGGCAAATCCAAACACATCCTGGATTCTACAAACTATAACAATTTTCAAAAGAGAAATACAGAAGGGAGCTCACCTTTTGTCCTGGCACACCTGGCTCACCCTGGAGAGATAAAACAATGTGTGTACAGATAAAGTGCATATCCAGCCAGTGTAACAAATGAAGATTTACATTGACAGATGTACAAGGCTGAGCCTTGCTTTGTGGGCTACAAAGTCATGCCTCTGATTGTGCTGCAGCCGAGCTGATGCTAAAGCCTAATACAGTGAGATTCAGTCTGACGTAACAGTCTCAGTCACAGACTTTGTCAGTTTATCTGTGTTTGTTCTCTCATGTTCCTCACTGGATTTGCTACCTGTATTTGAATTGTGTTTTGCTCCTGATTGTCCACCTTTGGTTCCTTTCCTGTGTTCCTGGCTTCTGCCTTCATAATCAAGTCTTTCAGAATTTTAATTTTGCTGTTTGGCCAAAAAGAAAAAGTAGTTTACCTTGAGTCCTGGTAAAAGCTGCAGAAACAATGCAGAAATCCAAGGAAGGTAAATGTCACGCCAACAAACTTTCACTAATGAGAATATTATGTAAAAATAAACATGGAGTCACTGAAACAAACTTACCCGTAGGTCTTTTCCTGGTTTTCCCGGCTCACCAGGTTTACCCTAAAAGAGGAAAAATTCCTCATATAACATCTACAAAAATATCTGTTGCACCAGCTCTATGATTCCATTTCAACTACTCTTTTGCCTGACAATAAATGACGTCAAACAAAACTTAACACAAGACAACACATATTTTCTTAAAAACTGAACAACCCAGTGGTTGTCAAAGTGAAGTTTTATGTTTTTAGGTGGCAACATGGAATCAATGTCAGTTTTGAAACAGCTGAGTTATTGAGAGCAGCATGTCCAGGTTCTAATGGTCCCTAAGCAAAGTGAACTTGTGACTCTATTTCCAGTCCAGACTGATATTGTATTCATAATATTCTCACTATGTTTTCACCTCTCTGGCGCAGTCTGAGTTTATTAAGCACAGGTGGCTAATTAACAGGTGTATAGGATTTTAATTTCTGACTGAACTAAGACTGGGACTCACCGGGGAGCCACTGGCTCCATTCAAGCCTGGTGTTCCTGGCAGTCCAGGGGGTCCTGGAGGTCCCGGGGGTCCCTGCGCTCCAGGCTCGCCCTGCTGAGAGACCTTGAGTTACAACCTGCCATGCTGGAGCGTGTCTTGCCACACTGGCCATGCCAACACAACAATCTCAGACTACATCACAAATAAATGCAAGTGGGGGGGGGGGGGAGGCAAAGCAAGAGGTTTAATGCTTGAGCACAAAGATTTATTCTTGAGGTTCACTTATTAGCTTTTCCTGGGCTTTTACCACATCCCATGGACTTCAGGGAATATAACTTAACCATGTGTCAGGACATGATCAAGGACCCTTGAGACATGGTCTTAGCAAATACCCTTAGTAAGAGAACACTGGCAAATATCAGGTGTCTATGAATATGAGACCGAGACAAGTCCTAGTAGCAGCTAGCAATGATGTGATGAAACAGAGAACTAATGAACTAGTGAATATTAGACCAAAAGAGTTACAGAACTTGCGTCACGTAGTTAAGACTGGTTGTATAGTGTCTCACTCAAGGAGACACTGATGGTGAATGGCAACCTTGATTTTTCTCCAGCCATTTACTGGCTTTGATGCTTTTTTCTTTTGCCAAGGAAGTTATGTTTTCACACGTCTGTTTGCTGGTTTGTTTGTTTGGCACCAGGATTATGTAAAAACTACTGATCTCATAAAATTTTGGTGCCGATTCAGTTAAAGGGGTGGATCCTGGAATTTTTTAACCAGCTAATCTGTGAGTGGTTATTCTGAACACTGTCCATTGACAGCCAGAGGCCTGGGAATGATCTCAAACCACAGCTTCTTCAGACTGAGACATATTTCCATTCAGTATCTGGGTATACAAAATGCCATCTTTAAATGCCATCTCCCCTTTGCACTTATGCAGCCCCATATCAGTACACTCCATGTTTCACGGTCAGTACTAAGCAGGTTTATGCCAAACACGCTGGACCCCATTTGATCCAAACACATTTTTTTTTGGTTTCTTCTGGCCAAAGAATGTTCTGCCAATATTCATTTAGCTTTTTTCAAATTCTTCGGCAAATGTAAAAAAATAATTTTATTTTTGCACTTTTCTACTGTTATGCTAGGAATGGTTTTCTTCTTGGTCTGATCAGTGACTGAAAAACCAATTTCCACAGATAATCTTTGTCCCAAGTCAGAAACACACATCTGTTTTTGGCTGGACTGCAACAGCACTGTGAATGCTATTATCACAAATGTCTGTGACTGAGTGATACAGTTGAGTGATCATAGTTCCATCATTGGTCAGACGAATGACTGAACGTGACTGAGTTGGACTTTCCTATTGGCTGTTGCTCTTTCAAAATGAAGATGGGGCGTTTACAGTCTGCAGTGTTGTCAATTTAGCACGAATCAGTAAATTTAGTGAGTTTTTTTCAAAAAAGCACCTGGCGACAAATCAAATGACTTTTATGACAAACCTAGCAGCTTAGAAGAGAGTCTCCAGAGAGAAGGTAGTTCTCTCTGTGTATCATTACCCAAACTGTGCTCTGTGTGAGAGACTAAATAAGAAAGATATTGAAAGATATCTTCCAACTTTCTCTGTGAATGATCATGTGCAACAAATCCAACTGAAATCACAATTCAGTCTTTGTCTTTAACTGATGTGTTTGGTGACGTTGTCAGACATTGTGGTTATAAAATCGGGATTTTAGAAGTGACTGCTGGTTAACATGTAGTCACTGTTTCAAACTTGTTTTGTTGCCATGACAAATGAAACAGAAAGACATATGAATGAAAACAGCTTTATTGTGAATTCAGCTGTATTAAAATAGTGTGTATGTGAGCACAGAAGGGCAAATACAGCACAATGATGTCCATTGTCTACAGCGGTTCCACAACAGTTTTCAACTATGTCCTAAATTTCATACATTCACTATATTTTTTATGCAAGATTGTGTGAATCGAGAAGTGTGCTTCTCGTCAGTATGTGATTCTCATGTAACAATCAACAATTAATGTTTGCCTTTTTTTCTTTTTACTGTAACAAGGGTCTTTCCCTGACTCTGACTGAAACTTTTCTATTAATATTTTGGTTGTCTAATCTTCACCATCTTTTCTTTGTCATTATTTGGTATATGTGGATAGTGTAGACAGAAAGACTGACAGGATGTAAATTGGGGTTTTGGAGAAGCACCTATATCAAAGTTTTTGAATGGCAAAAATCAATTTCCAAAGTCCACTTACAAGACAAGACAAGAACTTTTCACCTGAGTATGACTAACCATTCAGAAGTAGTAGCAGCCAGAACTTGGTTAATTACAGCATCATGGCGGTTGGGGCTGGGGGTGGGGGGAAGTAGGGGCAGAGAGAATTGTACCTTGAGGCGTTTTAGGATTAGAGGGCTTATTGAGGGCATGTTTCGCACGGTGATGGGCAACATCTGCCAGGGGGAGTCACAAAGCACAGGTGGCCACCGATGAAAAAAGGTCACAGGGCAAGGACCAGGAGGCCAAAGAAAGGAAACGGGGTAGAACCAAGAGAGTGAAGGAGGGGGGAGGGGTGTGGAGGAAAAGAGAAATAGAAACATGAGAGTGAAAAGCAGGGACATGGTAAAGGAGAGAAAAAGGAAACAAGGTTGAAGAAAGGAATGACAAAAAAGAGGCACCAGCACAACACTCTTTGGGCCTGGAGTAGAAAAGGGGATGATTGATGTACTGTGATAAAATTTTATATCCAAAGAATGTGAATACATTCAAACTTCATTCAAAGGTCTGTTGGTCAAATCAAGCATCCCCTATTCAGGATTTGTGTACAGCCAGGCCCATAGATTGCAGTGGAGCAGAGGTGGGTGCTAGTCTTGCCACAAAGAGAGTATAGCAGTATAGTTACAATGCACATCCAGACTTACTGTGGCCAACTGTCCAACACAGGGCTGTACAATACGTCGCTTCTGTTGAGATGACCAGCATAATCAGGTACAAGTTTAGCAGAGGGTAGTGCAGGTGAGATCCCGCTGATAGCTACATTCTCCCACTGACACCAAGTAGAACCAGCTGCATGCAACTTGCCTACTTTTTACATAGCATACATATTTCCACAATTTTTATTATGCAGCAACCTCTACAGTAAAGACTACCCTGACCCAATATCTGAAAATACTTATACACATTTCTACCTTAAGGTCAGTTTTGAACATACTTCTTTTCATTGTGTGATCAGTCACACTATTTTTAAGTAGATCAGTTGAAAAAAATAACAACAGAACTATATCTATGGAAATATGTACAGCATGTTATAAGTCAATATAGTGTAAGTATGGGTATACATTTAGTAAAAGTAGGCAAGTGTGCTGCTTTGTCCCTCACCATTTCCAGCTATCCACCACAAAACTGGACACAGGTTTAAAAGTAGAGAAGTCAAAGGATGCCAATATTAAAGTGAAATAGAAATGTCACTTCCAATTTGAATTAAATTTTTATTTACCTCACATATAAATAAAAGGCTAGATACTTTTTTTTCTCTTTACTTTTTTTATTTGTTTCTTTTATCATAATTAATTATATATAAATACAGAACAAAATGCATTTCTATTTCAAATTTCATAACACTGCCATAATTATATTTATCTTGAATTAGACTTCATTTTCAAAATGGCAGGCCCTGTGCAATTGAAAACTGAAAAAATTGTCATCTTTCAGTCATTATGCCTCCACTCTGGCATCAGAGCCAGAGGCATATCGTTTTTGGGTTGTCTGCCTGTCCGTCCCATTCTTGTGGACACAATGCTTCAGTAATGCCTTCACAGAACTTCTTCAAATTTGGCACAAACATTCACTAAGACTCAAGGATGAACTGATTAGATTTTGGGGGTCAAAGGTAAAAGGTCAAGGTCACTGTGACCTCACAAAACACAGTTTTGGCCTTGTGAAAGCAATATCTCTGTAACACCTTGAGGGAATTTCTTGGTAAAAACTTTCACCTGGACTCAAAGACAAACTGATAAGATTTTGGTGGCTAAAGGTCAAAGGTTAAAGGTCAAGGTCACGGTGACCTCACAAAACACTTTTTACAGCACTTATGACAAAATCTAACACAAATGGTTCATATTTTATATGACTCTGGATAAACAGGGATGTAATCTGAAACTAGTCTGAGGGTGTGAGGGTGGAGGCAGGCAACCACGAGAAGGTAATTCTAGTTTTTATTTTTGTAATTTAATTTTTTTATACATCATGTGTACAAATATGGAATTTTTTTATTGAGTGACCTATTCTTAATATTGGCATCACTGTGCCTCTGCAGTATGTGCAATTCATCTTAATTCCAGTAACAAATTTAAGAGCTACAAACTGTATATTATGTTGATTTATCTTTTATGAAACAGGAAAAACTTGTTCTGAAAACCTTGCTACCAAATCTTTATTTTTTCTTTTGGGTGGAGAGCATAGGGCTAAGGAGAGCCTGAGCTCTGGGACACTGGCTCTCTTTGCGGCATGACTTGATGACACCTCAGCTGAGGGTAATCTTTTAGGGTGTTTTGAGGCACCCACAAACCTTCAACATCACAGCCTGATTGTAGCGCAAGGCGGCCAGGGTTTTCAATGGAACATCCTGTGCAAAGAGGCCCTACACACCAAGGAAGTGGTTATTTCAATCAGTACTGGTAATGGCTGTAATGAACCAGAATCCAGCTACAGAAAAGATGAGGCATGTCTTGTGAAGTCTGATTTTAAGATGAGTTCAGTTTAAAAGAAAAGCTCAAAAGGTTTCTTTTCTTTCACAGAGCTGGAGTCAGAATGTGCTTATCCTAGCTTAGCATAAAGACTGGAAGCAAGAGAAAGCAGCTAGCCTGCCTGTGTACATAGTGGAAAAAATGCCTACCAACACCTCTAATTACATGTGTCATTTTAATTTCTTTTATGGGTATAGAACTGTACGATAACAATTTGTAATTTAGACATGTTCATTTATGAACCTGCACCATGGAGACAAATACACCATGGTTCCAGTCTCCAGGCTTCCAGTCTCTGTGCTAAACTAAGCTGATCACATCCTGACTCCAGCTGTGTGCTTACTGCATATATAAGAGATCCTCACATCTCACACTCATAGAGAAAGCAAGTAAGTGTATTCCCAAAATATTGAATTTTTCTTGTAACAATGAGGCTGCTGCTGAATACACACTTACATAAAACAAAAGAAATGTTCGCTGATCCAGTTGGCTTTGTTTTCAAAGGTAAACTTTCTAAACACTGAACATTTAACTCAATCAACAGTAACCCCCCCAAACCCCCAATGGGTTCCACTATATGATTGAGGCCTTGAATGTCAGCAGACACTGGGACTGCACCTCCCAGTCAAACTGCTTCAGTGGGCTGAGCGAAGTGTATGACAAACAAATTCAGCAGCCATATAGTTGGTTTGGAGCTTCTTTTCTTTCAGCCTCAAAACATCACACCTCAAGTTCTCTCTGGGTCCTTCTTTCTCTAAACTGCCCATTCTGAAATTAGCCTGAAGCATTTGCTGTCCAGAGATGTATATCACAACATGATGCATTACTGATAAAAAAAAAACCATATAAACATTTAAACATGTATCATACTGCTATTTTGAGGGGCTTTTAAACAAGGTAGCAAATGTTTATGTCCTTCCACCCCCAGCTTTGGCAGGAGTGGTTTAGAGGTTGAATTAGCTATCTGAATCCCCCTTTACACAGGAGACTCTCATTCTTGGCACCTCAAAACCAGGCTCTTATCATGTTTGTCTGTATACTGTAGCAATCTGCCAGTAATTGTTTTCTCTCAACAAGCCAAACCTGCTACCTGCCATTTGTCTGGCCAACTCAGGCAGCAGTTTGTCCAACTTCACTTTTCTATTCTGTTCTCACATCACACAAAACAATGAGTAAAATCATGTTAAACCCTGTAGCAGGAACAACAGCACAGATTCAATGTGTGTCATGATAATAGCATTTAAAATAATGCTGTCTTACCCGGTGTGTGTAATCTCCACAGACGCCCTGCAGAGAAATCAGAGGAATGAACCACAACAAATTTTTCCACATATTTTTTCACTAATCATAGTCATAGTCAGTTTCAGTTTAATGGGGAGGTCCGCAGATGTTATATGTGAAGATCAGTTATGATGAGTGCAGTTCAGCCAGTGGAAACAGTGGCTCAGGAAAAGCTTTGCCAAATCTTTGACAACATCCTGATGATGTCATAGTGATAGTCATAGTAATTTTGAACCTTTTCTTTCTTGTGAGTTCCAACTTTATGGAAGTGTGATGCTAATTTGTTGGAGTACCCCTTTTCAGTAAAGGATCTGAGTAGGTTTTCCACCACTGCTGGCTGGGAAACTACAGAGTGTATTACTCACTCACTGCAAACCATGTCTCACCTTCTCCCCTTTAGATCCAGGTTCCCCCTAGAAGTTAAAACACATGAGTGGTTATACAGTTAGCCTAAAAGACCAGCAGGTCAATATTTCAGACTTCAGAAACTTACTGGCTGTCCTTTAGGACCACGCTGACCCTGAAAGACACCAGCAATGCAGTCAGTCTTGAATGTGATGTAGCCACTGATTTTGAATTCAACATGACTGAACACACATTCCTCCAATTTATATGAGTGCAATGAGAAAACATGCCAAGTTATAATCAGACAGATGAATAAGTTGTTACAGGGGTCTATTCTAATTGTTATGAGTGATGGCACTCTATGATTTCTCATCAGGCCTTTGGTGTGCCCAGCTGTCAGAGCTCAGTAATTGGTAGATTAATGAACCACATAGATCTGACATACATCTGACCCCACTGGCTGACTAAACAGCTTATTTTCCACCTTGAAGGAAAATGAAGCTGAATGGTGAACATTAATTTAAATAGCCTGTGGAAGCTGGAGGTGAACATTCTTGCTTTGATTCTGTAATAGCTGAGAGTCAATCATAATAAGTTGTCTTTCATTCCAAAATCCTAATCCTGCTTTATCTGCAGCATGATGTTCATTGTACAGCTATGGCTACGGCTGTGCTCAAAATAAACAGACACCTAAAGTTTATTACATGAACACAAAATGCACATTTAAGTTTTAATGGTATTACAGTGCAACTATGTTTATGACAAATTCAAGGAATACTTACCATGTCTCCCTTCAGTCCATTCTGTCCCTGCGTAAAGATTTAAACAGTGAATGCAGGTGATAAAAATAACTATATCAATCTAGCAAATTTAATGTATAAATATATATATATATATATATATATATATATATGTATGTATGTATACAATAAAAAATATATTATAAAAAACATATTATATATGTATATATGTATATTCAGTTTCTGACATGACATTGGGGAGACTCACAGGCTTGCCATCCAACCCAATTGGCCCCTAGGATAAAAGAAGAAAAAGAGGTGTATGATTAAATATGGAGATCAGCAATTGCAAAACAAAGTTGTACAACAACAGCTGGCACTCATTTCTCAATCAACTCACAATCTACTATTACTATGTTATCACTACATGTTAAATAATTATTCACAAACTACCAGTTAAAAATGTTTTGATTAGAGGTCAGACTATGATTTATCCTTCACTCATTCCTTGGTAACTCCTCATTGTTTTGTGTACTGTAATTAAGCTTTGCTGTCTTTTGTTCATTAAAGTAAAGAATTTCCAGCATTTACACAAATCATTAAAGCATCAACCATAGAGACAGCAAGTTCAAGACTTACTGGAAAGCCTGGAAATCCTCTTGTTCCAGGTTGGCCCTATAAGCAGAAAAACAGTCAGTCAGTGTGTTTGTTGTACTTCTGAAAGAAAGAAAGAAAGAAAATATGGTTCTCTTTCCAAGGGATGTTCAGCCAGCATGGCCTCATTGTTTTTTTTATACAAGATTTTGTATTAGGGGAAAAAAAACCTTAACAATTTATTTAATTTGAAGCTTATCATAGTCTTCTGAGCAATCTCCAACAACCATGTAGTTAAAGGTTCAGGTCATGGGATGGTGACTCAGGATCTTTTTACTCATTAAAACTGAGATGCAGTTGAAAGATCTGCAAAAATCTTACATCAAGTTTAAGGCAAATATGAAAAAAAGTCTGCTAAGTGCTTAAAAAATGGAAAATATCTCTCCACTGATGACAACATTGAGATGCAGCTGAAAGCTCTTGAAAAACTTAGTCATTGAACTTTGAGTTAAGTTTTGTTTGGTGATTTGTGGTTTTTTGCAGGATGCTATTTTGTAGGTCAAGAATTGACCTAAACCAAGTCAAATAATTTCTCAGAGAAATGGGAAAGATCCATTCACCGATGAAGACCTTGAGATGTGGTTAAAAGCTCTTGCAAAAACTCAAAAGTTAAGTATATTTTGGCAAAATAGTATTTACAATGTCAAGAGTCACCATTCAAAGTGGCATGGAAATGTATGCATCCAAAATGAAATTCATGATTATTTCCCTTAAAACTGTCTCCTGCATGTATGTAAGACATAATTGTACATGCTCTATAACACATTATACACACAGCTCTAAAAATATCTTCCATCATCCCCAAAGTTGTATGGGTTCTTCGCTGGCCCATGTCAAATTCCTCAACCAAGTTTGGGTCAAATCACTTCATTACTTTTTATGTAATGCTGCTGACAAATGAACAGATGTGGTTGAAAACATAACCTACCTTTGGTGAGTGCTCTCACTCACTCAGACAGAGAGAGAGAGAGAGAGAGAGAGAGAGAGGGAGAGAGAGAGAGAGAGAGAGAGAGAGAGAGATAGCTGTGGCTGTATAGGACATAGCCTCTACTTTCTCTTCTAATAACATGCAGCTGTTAAAATGGTTTAAAAAAAGGAAAACAATATTTTTTTTCATGTCATATTCAGATTCTGCCTGGACATTGAAACTATAGTGAAAGGTGTCAGTTCTATGTAATGCTGCTGGTATGATGTCAATATGACATCAACAGAGCTTTGCCTTGGGCTGTGTGGATGCTCTAACCTATTAACATGGCTGCCAAAATGAAAAGCAAGAGGCAACCGTCATGCGCAGGTGAAGTATGCAGTGTGGCTGGGGCCCAAGTGTTTCTGACTGACTTATTCTCTAAGTTCAGGACTGGGCTCCTACTGTGCAGAGCTTCTTCCACGGCCTGTTATTCATTAGAAATGCCTATTACCATCCAGGAAGCGTGGGCACACACAGGTATACATTGTAATAACCATCAACTAGAAAAACACATGTGTGCTCCACTTCAGTTGGCTAGACTCTTGGTTATTCTATGTTTTTTTTTATTTTTTATAAAGTCATGTTATGAAACTTATGAGGCTATATTGTCCTCCTGAAAACTAAAAAGGAGAAAAAAAGAAACACTAAACTCATTTGTTGTCCCAAGGATTTGGGTTAGAGGAACCATTAAGGCCTGAAGCCTGGATAACTAACACTGACCCAAGTTGGACCAGGATGAAGTTTCTTGCTTCGCTTCCTAATAAAACAAGCATGACTAATGAGCCAATTTATGGCCAAAGCATATTAGAGTCCTCTTGAACAATGCTGCTGTTTTCACACCGTCTGTAAAAAAGTATTATTCTGTCATTTGTGGTGCATTCACCCAGTCTTCCCCCCCACAATTCTCCAAAGAACAAGACTCTCTCTCTGTAGTTTAATCAACAGAAGTGAAAAGTCTATGAGTGTCTTCAGCAGAGATCTACTAAAATGGTAGATAATAAAAAAGTGTGGCATGTAGGCATGCAGCAGTAATTGAAGATAAGAGCTGTATTAAGTGTATGAACAGGTGAAGACACTTACAGGAGGTCCTCTTGGTCCAATGATAGACAGACCTGGCTCGCCTGGTGCTCCCTATGAACACATACAAAGACAGGAAAAAAACATAACTAGGATATTCCAGTTTCTCAGTCACCTCCAGAGATCAGTGAAATTCAGCACATCGATGCATTCCTCCGAAAGTAAAAAGCTATAGTGGGGGAAAATCAATCCACTAGCACATACATATAATGTGTCTAATTCTAAACACATAAATACCACCTCTCAGACAGCCATGGTGGACATGCATAGAAATGTAAAGCTCTGGTAACACTAGAAAGTTCCACAGCAAAGTTAATCTTTGTGTTCTTGTGAAATAGGTGTAGAAACTTAGCGATGTAATGACTGTTGGTAGTGCTAGAAGTGAGATGGGAGAAAGTGATCTCAGTCACTTTGACGATGACATGATTGTTGGTGTCAGACGGCTGGTTTGAGTGTTTCTCAAACTGAATTTTTACTCAGAATGTAGCAACAACAAAATCATCCAGTGAGCAGCAGCTCTGTGTTGATTAGAGATGTCAGAGGTCAGAGGAGAATGGACAGACTGCTGGGAGCTGACAGAAAGGCTACAGTCACTCAGATAACCACTCTTCACAGCTGTGTGCTAAGCACAAAAACTTCAGAGTGAATAACACGTTCAACCTTGAGGTGGATGGACTACAACTGCAGAAGACCACATCAGGTTCCACATCCTGTCACCTAGAACAGAAACCTGAGGCTGCAGTGGACACAAGCTGCAAGCAACTTCTTAGAAAATCATCTGACTCATTAGCTGCTAAATGTTGTGCCTTCTGCACCAGCTAGCTATTAACTTTGTCTGTCTGCTATTTGGTTCTGGGCAGGTGATGTTGCTGGACACAAAGTTGCTAAGAAAAGAAATTTGCCAACTGGGAAACCAAAGCATTTCGGATAAAGAGGCTAAAAAGATGTGTAGAGTGGAGGAGGACAACAGAGTAGTGTTCATCAAAATGAGCTATGGTCAATTTAGTGTTAATATGAAAAGTATTTACTAGTAGAGGTGAAAACAAAGAAATCTTTGGGGGAAAATGGTCAGCCAGCTTAACAGATGGAGAAAGTTTATTTCCAAAAATGTTACTAAATGTTATAGCTAGTACTTCTGCATTTAGTGTTTCACAAAATGCATGTATGTATGTATCCTTGAGGCCCAATAAATGTGTTCAATATATTTTCTTCCTTGTGTTTATTGGTTACCATGTTTTCCATCCCTCCTTCCCTTCTTTGCTTCATTTCATGGCCTGTTACTGTCACCTGCTGATCTGTGGAATGGGGTGAAACCACTGCTATGCATCATGCACACAAATCTGCATCATTGTAGACATGCACAAGAACAGAAAAGAATTTGGACCCTTCAAAACATTGCTTTATAGCACTAACAGTAATCAAAACCTCCACAGTGTACATTGGTTAAAGTTTAGGTCTGAGTTTTACTAAGCTGCTATCTATGCATTGAACTCGATGCAATGATGACCTAAAAAATCAACATTCAACAAAATGCAGGTGACAAGTTTTGTGGGCAGAGTTCATTACACTGATGTAAATAAAAGTGATCATTTTCGATTTTTCTGTCTCTGTAGTAATGACAGTGGAAAATTAATCTACGTTTACCATTTCTGTTGAAGTACTTTTGCAATTCCTGAGCCCAAATGTTGGAGACTACAGTAAAATTTAACTGTAACTGTAACTTCCACCTTGACACCAAATCAATCTTTTCTATCCCAGGTGGCAGCTCCATATTTATGGTAACTTCAAAATGACAGAGAGCTAAGATTTAACTGTGGTACCAGAAACAATATTATTTGTCTCAATATACTGTATAACTCTATTCAAGTTCTCTTTGAGAATCTCCTTGTGCACTCGACTGTGGCCTCTATAAATGTCTCTCCATTTTCTTTGTGGAGTCTTAAATTAGAACTTTCAGAAGCTTATGTGACAAATTATTACTACTGTGTTTCAAAGTGTAAAGAGTGCAGGTAACCCAACCAGAGTGGGAAACCATTTACAGAATGTGATCCTGATGCTGTTTTAAAATACAGATTTGAGTTCCTGATATAAACAACACCACCACCCACTAAACCACATCTTAGCAATGTCTCAAATGACTGTTTATATTTCATCATTTTTCTACCACTCATCCTACTTGCGCAGACTGGATTGGCTATAGGCGACCAAAGTACCAAAGGACACCAAGCCAAAGCCAGAAACTTACAGGACAGTTGCAGTTTGTCTTTGACTGGTGATAAATTACATATTTCTGCTAAAAGCACATGCTCCTAAACTTACCTTCACCCCTGCTTGTCCTTTTAAGCCCTGGGATCAGTTACAGCAGACACAGTAGCATGCAAAAAGGTGTGAAGGGAGGAGAGAGACACAAGAGAGAGAGGGACCAGTGTTAGAGTCATGGAGATGGTTCAGGGCATGCAGCATCCTCCAGGACTAGCAATGGGGGATGGGATGGGGAGGGCTAAGGGGAGCTATTATATGTGTAAGTTTAATGCAGCTAAGTGGAGGTTAAATGCCTCAATATTTATGTAGTCAAACATTATCTTAAACATCCTTTCTGATATTGGAATCAGGTCCAACTAATCCTTCAACAATTTTTGTAACATCAACATTCACGCTTATTTCACACTGCTTTTTTCATTATTCACACATTAGTTAATATGTGTTTAACTGAGTACCATCAATGTTTTCAAAGAGAGACAGTTCAAAGTGGTAGGATTCATAACAATGATATTACATGATATGTAGTTCTTGGGAAGATGTTTGCTATTAGATGTGGTGTGATGGTATTTTGCTAAGCCACATTCTTTTACTGAGACATTAAGGATTGCTTTGTGGTAGAGAGCTACATGTAACCAAATGAGATATACAGCAAGTGACTATTTCATTAGACACCATGATACAACAAATCTGATTAAGGGTTAAACATGTCTTTAAGAGGGGGCATGAGGGAAACACAACTCTATTCTGGAAGCAGAATTAGACAAACATGTCAGTTCACTAACTCGTTCACAGCCTTTCATGTAAAATTGGACCTTCGATGTATTAAATATAATACATTTTGGGTAATTACATATTTATTGTCAAAATCAACTTCGGACTGAATTGATTTGAGTGCTTGTAATTCATAGTATCCTATATTTAATATAAATATAGAACATCTGTTACTAACAACAACAACTAACTATTTAAGCATTCTGACTTGATTTTATGCTGTGAAAATTCCTTATCTAGGCAAGAAGCCTGTTACCTATGGAGACATGTTAGAAGTGTTAAATATAATCCACATGTGGTAATGCTGAAATTGTTTGAAATAAGGCTATATCCAAAAGAAGTGTTTCAAACTAACAAAGTGAATTGTGTGGTAACCCTATAACAGTGTGTTAATGACTGGGAGTAATACTTATGTAAAAGAGATTTTGTAATAATACAGTAAGGTTAGATCTTGGGATTCATTGTTGGTTGCTGTAGCAAAATCAGGGAATGTATGTTGAAACAAGATTACAGGTATGGTTAAACTATAAAACAGACTGCTAATGCTGTAATTAGTAATTACATTTACTTTACAAAATTCCAATTGAATATTTCCAGACACACACAAATTAAAAGGCCAGCAAACTGAAAACAAGACTGAAAATGTGGGACTTATTCAACTATAAATACACAGAACATAACATATCATTAGAGTATCTGTAGTAGTGGTGATAGCTGACTTTCCTATTTGTATCATATTGCCACAATTAACAAACTTAAAGATTTAAAAGTTTTGGGTCATTATGTTAAATTATCATGATACACTCAGTTGAAGGCCCCACACATCTCCACAGGTGTTCCCAAGATTCTTTGAACTTATTAGAATGCAGACAGGTGGTTGTACCATAGGTGTGCAGAGCCTTTAAGAGTAAATACATTTTAGTCTAGCAGCCTCTGTCTGAACTCCCTGCTTTCCTTACAGCTGATATATGAAGTCATATCAACACAACCATTGTGCTGGATACACAAACCCAAGTCACTCACCATTTTCCCAGGAATTCCCATATTTCCTTTGTCACCCTATTGACCAGTGCAGATTCAGAAGAAACAGGGGTCATTAGGAACATTAGACTGAAGTGAGCTATAGGGATACCTTACCATTTAGACTTATGGGCTGTTTGTCATTTTCAAGGCTTATGTAATCTTATTTAATGAACCAGAATTTAATTTAAACAAATTCAGCTGAGACAGCATAAGAAGAGTAGCTGCTCACATCACTAACACTGTTTTTTCAGCACTGTTATAATCAATCATTAAACGTAATGGCTCCTACTTTTGGGAAAGGGACAATAACAGTGGGTATACACAGTTTGTAAAAGTCGTAATGCCATGGTATCCATTTAAAGAATAATAGTGTTGAGAGGACTTAGTAGGTTCACCATGCCATGCCTAATGTTAAGACTAGAGACAAGCATTTCATTATACTGTGACTGAAAAATGAATCTGGTGCAGTCATGCCCAACCCAAGACTCCTGATCTGAGATCTGAAATAATGTTAAATGAGTCTGAAATATTCCTCTCATCAACTGGCCATAACAACAACTGTACTCTGACACATACTCAGTTCAAGTCCTGCAACACTTGTTCACCCTGTATTTTCTTTCACATTACTTGAGATAACACTCAACTTGACTTAAATGAGGGTATCTATTTCTGAAGCCTTTTAATGTGCCTGCCTCTGTCAGGAGGGACAAGGCATAATGTTGAGCTGCGGAGATACAGCGCATGACTCAGCAACCTGTAATAAACTTTTGCAAGAATTGGGGTATAGGCACTTGCATGAAATGACCTATTCAAGTCTGAGAGATATTCAGGTTTCCTTTAAATTATAAACTACAACATCTTTTCAAAATTGCTTTGAGGATCAGTTTTATCAAGTATTCACTGCTTAATAAAATATATCTGAAATGTCCGGGACTGAAAGCCAGTTCAAATAAAAAAAATCTTCATTATAAATTTAATTCTAAATGCAAATCTGCTCACGGTTCTGCTCAAAGTGACACATATCGGCCGCTAAGGGCAGCTTGTTCTGGCTCAGAAAAGCAAACTGGTTGTCATATGGATTCACCATGCATGTCTGTCCCATCTGTCCCTATCCTGTGTTCCTGAGGTTTGTACCTTTGATAGTTTTTCGATATCTGAACTGAGTATTAAGGACAGATAGATAGGGCGCCTCATGTTTCACACACTATAAAGCCATCTATGCTTTATATTTCAACAATGTTGTGTAACACTAGCCTTTATCCTCTGTATCACATACATCTTTTATGTGTACACAGTTTGGGCCTGATTTACTAAAGCTTTGCGTGCGTAAAAACGTGCGCAAACGCGACAGCACGCGCAAACACATGTTGATGCTGATCTACCAACCGGGCGCACCGAGGATCGCGTCTGTCAGTCGGGCAAAATATCGGGAGGAGTAGATGCAAATAGAATCATTTTGTGCACGCAATGAGATTTACCAAACCTGAAACTAATTGCGCTGATTATTTTTGCGTCTATATTTAGCACGTTTGAAAGTCAAGTCTTAGGCTACCTGGCACAGCTGTGCGCACAGATGGCTGTGGTCATTGTTGCAAGGAGGCGGCGTAGGCACGACAGGCAATGGAGAGAACGCATCTTTTCTGTTCGTGTCACTCTTTTTGGAATGGCAGAAGAAAAAATAATCGAGACATATCGGTTATCTGGCGATGCCATTTTGGAGCTTCTCCGTGAAGTAGGAGCTGATTTGGATCCAGTCACAAGGAGGAGTCATGCAGTGCCTGCTATGAAACTCAGAAATGTGCTTGTTTGCCTCTTGTACCAGCACCTCCAATTCCGTGGCTTCAAATTTGCTTTTGCGCTTCCGTTGGGTCTGCTCGTTTGCATTCGCCACGGTGAACACCCTTAACTCGTGCAAAATCCTCATTTAAATAGGGTGGGCTCAATCACTTTTGCACCTGTAGTCAATTGCGCTGTTAATCTAAGTAAATCACCCGCAAGCCCCAAACAGGCAGCGTGCGCAATCTATCCGTGTGCGCACGCAATTTAGCGCTCTTTATTTGGGATCTTAGTAAATCAGGCCCTTTGAATCCTGTGTGGGAAAGGTGAATTCCACAAATGGAAACCACTAAGTGCAGAGGCAAACAAATCAAAACACTGAAGAGCTATTTCTGTAGAAATGCTGGCCATAAAAAGTAGCCTGGTCAAAACTGGTCTGATATAAAGAAAAGCTTAAAGATTATGATTTTAAAGAATTAAAGGATGTTTTGATATTAATCCTGGAAGTATTTTGGTGAGACAATCATGAAAAGGAGTTGGATTTGGCACTTACAATCAGGCTGGCTTTGGTCAATGCATGCATGAGTTTAAATGCCATAAAGCCACTGCACTACTAAACCACAAAACCATGGCATGTTATTTGTCTCCGTTCTGACATAATGGCAACCCTCATCACTGAATATCAAAGGCTACTGGATGAACGGCTCTAAGAAAATGAACTTAACACTCACATCTCTTTCATTTTAACTGCACTGCAATCTGATCACCAATCACCATTCTGACTATGCCACAAGCAACCACATGGTCAACTTTTCACCTAATATTTGATCAGAAATGGTTTTAAATAGGGCTGTTGTTGGCCAAAATGAAGGTCCAGGAAATGTCCAGTGAGTGCTGCATTTGTCCAATCAGATGTTGGAACATTTAAATGAAGGTATTTAACCAAGTTCATACCACTCCTCATCTCTCCTGTGAGTCTGGACATGGATTCAGATATTCAGATACTCAGTCTTGGCACATCACATTCGCTGGTATCTCTGTCATGTATGTGGCATAGTACTTAAAATAAAAGTATTTAAATGCTATCAGGCTACAGCTGGGTCTTTGAAGGCCTATTTGGCACCACCAAATATGGTTGTAATGGAGAGCTTGAGGCTAACGTACCTATCATGATTATTTGATGTAGCCACAAAATAAAACCTTCACTAAAAGCAGAGTTTTATAACCATTAGACAAAATTAGTGTTTTGTAATTCCTCATTCAGTTCATGTGTTGCACTTCAGTCAATCAATCCCGATCAGTGCTGCACTTCCTTCTGCTCTATTTACTGAGCATGTTTATATAAATTATTCCTGCCTTACAACACATAGGTCAGGTAGGCTATTTTGCTTGTACATCATTCCTTTGTAGTGCCTGTCACTGTATCGGTCAGTTTTCAGACTTATTAGGGCCTCAGAAGTCTCACAACACACACACAGCCTAAGATAAAAGGATTATTGCAGGTCCTTAGAAGACGAATATCAAGGTGTCTGAGGCATATTAACAGCCCTTTTTAGCCTCAGCTGGGCGCTAGATTCAGATGTGCATGTTTGTGCTATGTTAGTGTATGGACACTCATATATATAATAAATATCTTATCCTAACCTAAACCTAAACCTAAACCTAAACCTCACCTGAACCCTAAAACCAAGTCTTAACCCTCAAACAGCCCTTTGAAGTTCTGAGGACCAGCCAGAATGTTCTCACAATGACGCTTTCAAACTGTGGTCTGTCCAAACAACGATTGAAAGTAACACACACACGCACGCACGCACGCATGCATGCACAAAGTGTTTATGATTCATCCATCGTATCAGTGGGGGTCTCCCTCCATTGGTTAATAAAGACCTATAATGTCACATTCTGACATAAACACCTTCTATGGAAAACACTGCTCCCTTATTTTGTCCACTTTCAAAAAAACCACATCCTCCTGCCATCATTCAGTCTGCTTGTGACCTTTTTTCCTGCTGGTTTACTGATGTAATCAATCACAAATATCAAAAAGGATCTCATCCTGACTTTGACACAAAGTGTCAACAGTTTGCTGTTTGTAATTGGCAACACAGGGCAAAGGTCAGATACTAGATGGCCACCTGTTTTCATTATTTCATTAAAGGAAACATATGGATTTGACATGCTGACATGACATGCCAGGTCAGCAGAAAGAGGAGAGTGTTAGACTGAGATTATAAAACAGAAGCAGTCTGACATGACTGTCCCACTTAATAGATACATATATATATATATATATATATATATATATATGTGTGTGTGTGTGTGTGTGTGTGTGTGTAGCAACCCATATTAAAACAGCCAAGAGGCCATGATCTTTTAAAGCTATAAGCACTTAGCTCCACTGCTGTACTGACATCTCTGAGGTTTCTAATGTGATCACAGAAATAAAATAGAATCAGATTGTTGAATTATTTCTAATTCAATTTTTAAAATCCTTTGATGCAGAGGGTTCAAGTTTAATGCAACCCTGTTTCCTTAAAAATACACTCATGCACAATTATTTTGCAGTAGAACATGTTTTTGAGGAAACATAATCCGGCCTAGATGACATTTTTATCTACATAATAAAGAAAGATCTATTACATATCTACATATCTACAAAATATGTACAAAATCCTGTCTGACAATGAGGACAGTGAGATAGGAAGCAATGAAGAGGAGGAGGAAGAGAGGAATGGAGAAACGGTCTGAGTAGAAGTGAAAAAAAATGTATCACTCCTTTGGTTGTTACAGCTCAAGCTTCATTTATCTATTTCGTTATCAATGGAAAATTACTTTTTGCATATTTTTTATAGAAAGGAAAAAAGAAGAAACCAGTAAGGATGAAGATCAAGACAAAAACAACATGACAATCCCTGACCATTTTTGAAATTGATACTGGGAAAGCTGTCCTGGCCTGAGCTTCCAGATGTAGGATCAAGTGGGAATGTAGTACTGCCCCTGGCAGAACCAATATCCAAGAAAAGGAATTTCAAGCTGTTCTATGACAACTGGCTTAGCTCAGCCCAACTGATGCTTATGTGGGTCCAAATGTGTTGGAGTTTTCCCTGCATGCAGAAAATAAACACAGCAGTCACCCTCCTCAGTATGTATGTAGGTGCTCACCCTGTATCCGAAGTACCCTGCAGCAGTATCACATAAGATCAGCACATGGGAAGTGTCACCTTGTTGGATTTACTGGTTGCTTAATACTGCACCAACATCAGGTCAAAGTAATGGTACCACCACGCTGTCTTTAGTTTGATAGATATGGCAGTGGTGAGATGTTGACTCATCTACAGGATTGTGGAAACGATGGAATGACGAAAAGCACATGTGTCTTTACACCTTCAAGTCAAAAAAGAAGAGAGAGCGAAGCAGTGGTGGGATTTCCCATCAGTATGAGGAGAAGAGGAGTATGTAAATACTATGTTTCAGTTGTTTTATTCTTTTTGTTAAATGATATTTTTGACATTTTTTGAAGATTTTGAAGTGAAGTTGCAAAACCTTATTTTGATTAATGCAGCAATTATGTTCCCTCCATAGCAATTTTAACGAAGCAAATTATGTGATATATACTATAGGTTGTTTAATATATATATATATATATATACATATATATATATATATATATTTTTTTTTTAACTGTAACTCATTTGAAAATCCAAATGAAAACAGTAGAGTAGGCAGAGAGATCAATACAGCAGTGATCACATATGTATTACTGTATATAGAGACACACAAAAACACCAGTTAAAAAGAAGTTACCGGAAAGCCTGCTCGTCCAGGTGGACCCTGAAAAAGGGGTGAGAGAGAATTGGTACAAAAAGGAAAGAATACATTTTTTTCAGATAAAGTCCACATAATGAAAGATAGCTGCACTGTATCAGGCCAGAATAAAGTGAGTAGAAAAAACTCCGGGTAGTTACTTGTAGGGATGTCACCACACCAGTTGTATGGTACAAATACCACAATTACACAATTCACAATAGCAAGGTATAAAGAGGCTACAGCACACGCAATGTGCTAACACACGCACATACACAAACACACATCCCTCTACATAGTCAGTATGCAAGCAGTAGTTTAAATGGACTAACATGGTGATAGACTGGTACTGTGAAAATATTCATTTAAAGGGATAGTTTGGGTTTTTTGACGGGGGGTTGTGTGAGGTAGTCATATATAGTTGGTACATTAGCAGCAGTAGATTATGATGAGTGCGGTCCCAGTTAGGACAGCTGACAGGGGCTCCAGCAAAGTGGCAGAGGGATGTGTTAGTGTGCATGGGGCCAAGACAAAAAAAATGTTTTACACACGCCATATCATAAAGCGGCGTAACACAGTGACTCCGTAAGTGCACTTGTGCGTAGGAATGCGGTATTTCAAAGGTTGAAAAAATTTACTGTCAAATGAAAGTGCTGTTTTTCACAGGAAGATAAACCGCAACTGAAGTGTACATTTAAACGGATATTGGATTGTTTCGGTGGGTGTCTTTTAAAAGTGACTAAAACACATTTTTCTAACTGGCTTTCCTAACTGGGACGCTCATCATAATCTACTGCAGGTAATGTACCAACTATATATGATATTTGCCTCCGCCAACCAATCAACTTACAACCTCTCCTGTTCCTGAGTCACAGTGTTGAATAATGGCAATAAGTGTTTTTGCAGAACATTATTGTGACACAGTAACATTGACCTTTGGCCTGTTGGACATAAAATGTTTTATCTTATTAGACATTTGTGTCATAATAAGCATATGAATTCTTCACTGACAGCAAAAATAACTACAAAAAAACAACATTTATAGTATAATAACTTATACTGTACAGTACTGTGAGGGTTCTAGTCCTCCCTCTCTTCAAGTTCTCATCAACATCACATTTTATGTCTTCTGGCAATCTTGGAAAGTATCTCCTAAAATGTCTAATCCAACCCTGGCAGCCTTCAGGAGAACTGTCTCCACAACCCGCATTCATGGCATCCAGTAAGGACTGGATGGGTTAGGGTTATCTGGTCATAAACCTTCCACTTCCACGCAGAGAAAAACTTCTCTGTGGGGTTTAGGAAGAGGGAGTGTGGAGGCAGGAACAGTACCGACATCCTGGCATTTGCAGCAAACTGCAGCAGGATGGTGAAATGCCACATTATCCCACACAACAACGAAGGTAGGGAAGTTTCTTGCCCCTCGACTTCTCTCCTCCACTGACACAAGTCAATTTTGCAGGTCATCCAGAAAAGAAATGAGCCTCTCTGTATTGTAGGGGCCAATGAGCGGTTTGTGTGACAGCAAACCATCATTTTGTCAGGTTGAATCCAGCTTCATCCACAAAGATAAATGCATGTGCAGTTTGCCTGCCTCCATCTCCATTACTCTCTAAAATACAGTAAATCCACAGTTTTACAATACTCTACTTTATGAATAGCTGTGTATGTACCCTGTTTGGTTATTGAACAAACATCTTTCCTGGACATATTGATACCAGAGTTTTTTCACACATTCTTTCAATGGGTACAGTGTGCAACTGCTTCAAATTTAAATTGCAATTAGCTGGGTTTGGAATTTTTATTATTTAATTTTACTGTAAATATTCTCCTAATATTTTCTATATATTTCAATATGGTTACTGCATAAATGTATGAAAGTTGCCACCATTCTGTTTTGCATGTGTTTTTAACAGTTTTGAAACAGTGTGTTAGCGTTTGGAAAATGTGCCGTAAAATAGTGTTTTGCTGGTTGTGGAGTATGAATGAGAAAAGAGTGGAGTGGGTCTGACATGTCGTGCTTGTCTATAACTTGTCCCTGATGATCCTGGTGATATCTCCAAATACAACTCTTTCTGTTTTGTTTTTTTCCCACAGTGGCCCTGTTGCTGCAGCTGCACTTGTCACCACCATTCCACATGTTGTTTATATCATTTACCATGTCTGCCTTCCTTCTTCTTCCCATTGCACTTGACATCAGACTAGAGCACTTTATCATGCTTCCCTCATGTATTCAGAATTTTGGCATTGACTTGGTACTGTGACATTCCTACTATAATGTATGTTTTGTTTTGTCCTTTTCAAGTCAGTGACTGCACACACAAAAAACACAGCTGGGCGGTAACATGCTGCTTCAAGTTCTGGTCAAAAGGTGTTAGGTTAATAATATTTTAAGATTTTTCAAGTTTTTTTTCAACAGTTTTTTAAGACTCATGCAAAGGTTGGTTTTGGGAGAACACAATGCTGAATTTTGCTGTATAACAAACACTCAAAACTTCTAACCCCACTTGAATACCTTGCTAATGCAGAATTGTACCTTTTATCAAAAACAAATCACAAGGAGCTAGAACATAATGGGCTTCTGTTCTGTCAGGGTTCTAAGAACAATAAAAGGCACATTGTCAAAAGTCCAGTGTGTTGTGTTTCATTAAGTGGGCGGAACACAAATCACTGCTCCTTGTGTAAGCAGCACTTGAGTAAAGCATGGAATGCTAATTGGTTGAAAGTGAAAACAGGAACTCTTGACATTTTCTAAAAAGCTGCTGGGGCATTGACTTTTCACTGAGGAGAATGATAACTGCCTGCTCTTGAATGCCTGCATGTCATCAATATTCCTTCATGAGGAGTCTTGTGAGAGGACCACACTTCCCAGAGACAGAGAGAGAGAGAGAGAGAGAGAGAGAGAGAGAGAGAGAGAGAGAGAGAGAGTACCAGTAAAGTATTTCCCTTCATCTAATGTTAACTTTTTTTTTTTTTTTTTTTTTTTTAAGTATATTTTTTTTGGGCTTTTTATGCCTTTATTGATAGTGCAGTAGAGAGAGACAGGAAAAGGGGAGGCAGAGAGAGGGGGAATGACATGCAGCAAAGGCTGTCTGATGCGGGACTCGAACCGGGGCCAACTGCAGCGAGGACTGTAGCCTCTACACATGGGGCGCCTGCTTAGACCACACGACGCCCCATGTTCTGTTAACTTATTGACATATTATGATTATAGTCTCCATTTGGTTTCTGCTGTGGCTATATAGGACATAGCCTCTACTTTCTCTTCTAATAACATGCAGCTGTTAAAATGGTTTAAAAAAAGGAAAACAATATTTTTTTTTTCATGTCCTATTCAGATTCTGCCTGGACATTGAAACTATAGTGAAAGGTGTCAGTTCTATGTAATGCTGCTGGTATGATGTCAATATGACATCAACAGAGCTTTGCCTTGGGCTGTGTGGATGCTCTAACCTATTAACATGGCTGCCAAAATGAAAAGCAAGAGGCAACCGTCATGCGCAGGTGAAGTATGCAGTGTGGCTGGGGCCCAAGTGTTTCTGACTGACTTATTCTCTAAGTTCAGGACTGGGCTCCTACTGTGCAGAGCTTCTTCCACGGCCTGTTATTCATTAGAAATGCCTATTACCATCCAGGAAGCATGGGCACACACAGGTATAGAGCAAATCGATATAGAGAGTGTGTGACTGTGTGTTAGCCAACAGCACGAGAGATCAAATCATCCTCCTCACATCAGTAATCCTGGATCGAGGGAACTTGAAACATTAAACTGAACTATAATTGTCTTTGGTGTTTGAATATAAATATAAATTAAATGCTGTTGTGTTGTACATTCGCTTTTGTCAATTTTTAATGTGTCTCATAACCTTTGAGCACTATAAAATCCTTTGATGCAGAGGGTTCAAGTTTAATGTAACCCTGTGTGCTTAAAAATACACTCATGCACAATTAATTTGCAGTAGAACGTGTTTTTGAGGAAACATAATCCGGCCTAGATGACATTTTTATCTACATAATGAGGAAAGATCTATTAGACATATCTACAAAATATGTACACATTCCTGTCTGACAGTGAGGACACTGAAATAGGAAGCAATAAAGAGGAGGAGGAAGAGAGGAATGGAGAAGCGGTCTGAGTAGAATTGAAAAAAAATTGAGGGGCGCAGCAGAGCAGCAACATGTGAAGACGTGTTTTTTGGGCTCTGCTTAGATTGAACATTTATTTAATATTCCTCCTCTCCTTCTCGTCCTTCCCGGTGCGAACGTGTCTCTAAAGTGCCAAGTCCCTCGAATTAGTCGTGTCTTTTAATTCAAAGCTGCTCAAAATGCTTAAATCTCAAAAGCCGAAGCTAGGGCTGGACGCCTCAGACTCGCTTGATGTAGATCCGGCCGCGGAAGCGGGGTCAAGGTCGGATCTCAACGCAATCATGGCTGCCATAAAGCAAACGGAGCAGAGTGTGCTAACCAAGATCGACTCGTCTTTATGGCGCCAGCAGATAAACTGCACAAGAAAATAGAAATCCTGAATGTGCGCGCAGAGTTTACTAAGGTAATTGAAGAAGTGCAGAAAGAAAACACCAGATTCTCAACCCGCATTGATGATCTCGAGGAGGAAGCTAATGACCACGCTAACCGGGTTGTAGCACTTGAAGCTAAAGTTAATATGCTGTCTACACAAGTCACCCGGTTGGCAGATAAGACAGAAGATTTGGAATCCTGGCAGTGGCAAGATAACTGCAGACTAGTCGGCGTGGAAGAGGGATTTGGAAATATACGACCGGAGAGAGCCGTGGCTGAATTGTTGAAGGAAACGCTGGCCCTCGACTATACGCCGACGCTTGATCAGGCGCATAGGAGCCTGCAGCCGAGGCCAAAGGACGTGGACGCCCCGAGGCCAATAATCGTCAAGCTCCACTACTTTCAGGAGGAAGTGGATGTTCTTTGAAATGCCACGGGTGCAGGTCCCATCACCCACAAAGGCAAGCGTTTCTATATCTACCCAGATTACTAGGCCGCCATCAGAAAAA